AATATGATGAGGTACAATATTGTATGTCCATTTTAAATGTCTCATAAAAAGAACTCAACGAACGCAAACGCTTCACAACATGCCAATATAACTGAATAGTACAGAGATTTATAATTATAATTTATTTATTTATATATTAATTTTATACACGAACAACTACATAAAGCATTTTGTGCTTGATTCCAAAGCCACCTCACTCTTCTTCCCACTCCCCAGAAACCGAACTTGGAACACTCATACAATAACATAGACGCTTTGCTAAATACATGGCTATAAAATTGATACTACAACAAAAAAGTTAAACTTAACCTTTGGTTATTAAATTAAATCTAATAATAAACACTCACAATTCAGAACGGTTAACAGTCGTATGCCCAAATACTCGAAACGCTACTCAATTTTTAGACGCCGCGCCGTCTCTCGTCTCGTGCTGTCACAGTCACTTTGACTTAAAGTGAAAGAAACAGCATGAGATTTAACGGGATCTTAAAATTGAGTAGCGTGCGAGTTTTTGGGCAGTAATGATTTAATTAAGTCATCCAAAAGCAATACATTTGTGCGCGGTTTTTATGCAGATGCATGAATTCAGTTAAAAAAAAAGAAAATAAATATATTTTTCGAAACAGTAGCAGACAAAACAGACTTTTTTAATATATATAAATCTAAAAAAATGTAAAAAAAAAGAATTATTATACTCGATACATCCATTTTATAAAACATTTTGTGAGGACATTAAAAAAACTAAAATTAGTTCACAACATGATTTGTACTTATAGTACTCGATAAAAGCAAAAAAGTAACAACAGAATAATATAAGATCTTTAATATGTAAATTAAGATCGTGATGTTAAAATTAAAAGTAATAATTACTTAACTAATCCGCCATCTTGTAATCATTTATTGACAGCTGTCAAAATAACATGTTGCTAGTGTTCAGAATTGTAAATACCTATTTATATTTCAAGTATTATTTTTATTTCAAGTCTAAGATATATTTGAAGAAAGAAGAAATTCATAATAACCAAACAAATAATATGAATGAATATTTCTTCATTTTATGACACTTGCACAAATCTTAATATCATCGTTTAAAAGATGACAGCTGTCAATTTGACAAAATAATATTTAAATAATATATAAATAAATGATTCATCAAATGAATAAAGCGGACTTATAACTGAGTATTAGTTAATAAACGCTTCGCAATAACACACTATTCAACGCAAGACTAGAAGCGAGTTAAAAATATACGCATTAAACGATAAACTAGGAACCAACTACGTACCTAAACGTGACTACACCGACATTTGAAATACATACTCCGCGTACATGTGTGATGTCCTTCACATAAATTGAAAGCACCGTCTGTTTCCGGTATAACGTATTTATGATCTCAACGAACACTACCTTAATAGGAATATGATCTACAACACCGTCATATGAAACCAATGATGCTTCGCTCGAAACCCATTAACGACAGAAAAGCATAGTTGACACTCATTTTAACTGTATTATTTTTAACAAACTGTCAAAAGAAAACTTGCTATAGAATTATCTGGGAATGTCAGTAAATGACGACGTAGTTTTTTTTGGGATAAAATACTTTATTTTAAAAAAAATAGGAGAAACGCGTACACTTTGACGGGCTCTTATCTCAGGGCAATTTGTTTAGTGCGGCATGGCATCATGTGCGATTAAACTGAGTAAATGACGATATACGAGTCTCTGAGACATATTCTGTGCCATTTTGATGAAGAGACTATCGGTCGTGGCCCCCACGCGCGAGGAAGATTCCATAAGAACTGTATCTGCGACTGATCGCCGCTGGAGACAAGAGGACTGGTACTTTTCTCGCACAAAGGTTTAGTATAGCCATTCAGCGAGAAAACGCAGCCAGCGTTCTTAGAAATACACTAGACTATACTTTTAGTTTATAGTTTTTGATTGTAATAAATATTGTATTATTATAAACTTTAATTAAAAAACGAAGTTAATTAGGAATAATTTAACTTAAAACTAACAAATGGTAAAATTAAAAATTTTGTACAACCGACTTCAATACGACCGAATCAATGTATTCGAAATCAACAAAAATTACTGATCAGATCTTGATTAAATTTATATGGGACCACACGAGAAGCACCCGCTTTCATATTAAAAAAAGAATCACCCAAAGAAAAGTTATGAGGTAACACACATTTTAAAAAAAACAGTCGAAATGAATACCTTCTTCTTTTTGAAGTCGGTAAAAAACAAACAGTTTTGAGGCACTATTGAAATCAGAAAGTTAAAACTATATCATAGAGTAATTTATTAATAGGAGTGTCAACTAACAAATCACCTGTGGAAATGAGATGATATCAAATTTTAGATTATAACCAAACTTTGGGAAGATATGGACAATAATATGAAACGAGAGATGAAGTCATAAAAACACCTTAACCATGCTAAAATGAAATAAATTAAAAATTCTTTAATGGCACTATTAAGTCAACCTAAAATCTACCAACTATTTGCGAACAGATCGTTAATTATTTTTTTTTAATTATATCATCATAACTGATTTTTTTTTCGGAATATTATCATCAATATTATTTGAGTTAAAAAATGTAAGGCGCAGAACATAAAAATAGATATTCAAGTTTGAAATAATTTTTTCTCATATTTCTCAGTATAATATCGCTTAGTTCCGTATAAACTTTCACAACTACGATATCGTAAATCCTATTCCTACATTGTTACCAAGCTACGAAACTAATTACAGTGAAGTTAAGTGAAACCATAACGTAGCCGTGGTGAATCCGCTTCTCCTCCCCACCTACTGAAAAACATACACGCGATGGCAACACTGCACGCACACGAATTACACAATAATAACATTACTAACGAATGGGGTTTACTCATTCCACCAACCGTCGCCCCGCAACGCGCTGTGTTGCCAGCTTATTGAATAGAAACGTCGGAATTAACATGTGAAAAAATTTGTAGCTTCAACCAAAACTGGTCACACAGCGCATTCAACAACTTCACATCCGAATTATGCATTATTTCATTTTTTTTAATATTTACAACAATCATTAATTGATCTAACCTTTTTATTTTTTAAACTTTATCATTATATAATAAGGTAAACTCAAAGAAAAATATACTCATTATCAACAAGCGGGATCCCGTTTTTTTGAGACCTTTATATTTATTTTGCCGCGTGATTTAAATCAAAACGAAGAACTTCTCAGCGTCGAATGTACCTTAAATTTCTTGAATAAAATTGCACTCAAATTGGTTCAACGCAACATTCGTCTCTGTCGATACAAGAATCGTTTAGTAGCTTTGTATGTCTATATTTTATTCGCATAATCTTAATTTGAATTTGGATAAAATGCTCATTAAATAACATTTGTAATGAAATAAATAGTGCAAAACTTAAACTTTGACTTCTAATAGTCAGCATTACATACCTTAAGTTCACTGTACATATACAAAATGCGTTAAGGTTGCGTCATATTTAACTATGTCTATCACTTATTCCGCTGGTGTATGATTAAATATAACATTATCTGGTTAGTGTTCATCCTGGACAGAATCACATAAGAAACCAAACTATTCTTTTTGCCATTTGCCTACCCGTTTATAATCTGTAACAACGCATAACTGTGCCACTACATACGTGAACCAGCTCTTTAACATCTTTCAACTAAGAAGTGAGTAGAAGAAGTAAGCGAATGCATATTTCTCTTGCCCTTGAACAGAAAAGATGGGAAGGTTTCTCAATATAAGACATGCCAGCTTCATTAAAAGGCACGGCTTACAGACATAAGGTCACACAAACTATTTATTTATTCAATTAACCGCTTTATTACTAGAAAAGAAGGCACAGAATCCTACAGCAAAGCTTACCTACGTGGATTAATTATACAACGAGTAGAATATTATGTAAAATTAACTCTACAATATCATTAATAATAAATTTTGATCCATTATTATTGCATTAAATTGCAAATAAGATACATTATTTTTAAATTCTGCTTTTGTTTTTTAATATCCATTAAATTCATTAGTTGTATGAAGGCAACATATTTATGAGTAACTTTGTGTAGGTATTACATAACCCTCGGATTTTGTATTAAGTGCCTTATGTCTAATTAAGCAAATGCCTTTTGTGCTTCTGACGCTTTTTCTGGTGTTTAAAAAAATTAAATATCATTGTCGTTAGTATGTCATATTTGACAGATGTCAAAAAAGACATTCACGGGTGTAGTGGAGAAAGAAGCGAATAATATGAACTTATCGTGATTTTTGAAGTAATTGATATTCCTACTGCGTTATGCGGATGAACGCGTACTAAGGAACTATTCTGTAGCAGTTTCAAAACGCGAAACGCAACTGCGTCTATTTGCCGTCCACAGAAATAGCCACAGAATGAACCTGATGCACGGTTTACGAGCAAATGACGGTTGAAACGGTGCGATATTATTCTTTGTTAGATGATCGTGATACTCGGATTTCATATCCGAAGCGAATAGCGATACTAGTGTGATTGGAGCCTAACCTAAATCTAAATACGCTAGAGAAAGATACATTCAAAAAACGTACAAAACAAAAAAAACTAATAAAATAGTAAATAATACTTCGATCGACGTTAATACTAAAATCGTCGCGAGGGTCTAAAAAAAAATAACCGTTTAAAAAACGGTGATTACTTCGTCATGACTAGACTGTGGTTGGCATTGCACTTAAAATATATTATGTATGTAACAAATCTCAGACAGCCATCGAATCGACGACTAAAACCGCAAAAATAACAGCGTCGTAACAACATGGCACTGTGACCGACGACGCTCGCTCCTGCAGTCGGTGAGCGACGACCAACCAGTGAACAAAAACGTCCCCACACCGAAATAAGTACGAATAAAATGGCGGCGGGCATCGCCAGTCGAATTTAGACCGTGAATATCGACCCATAGAGTTGAAATACCGTCGACAAATCGGCCGGGGTTCGTTCAGGCGACCGGAGTTTTGTCGTGTGCGGGCTGAGGGTTGAAATCCTTGTTCACGAACGAGAATCCTCTGAACTCCTCCTGTGGGACATACAAAAACTATGTTTACTTTTAACAATTACGTCATTAATTAACCATGTTAAAATAACCTGGGTCAACTGGAAGAGAAAACCAAAATTATGTACTACATGGCCAAATATTCAAACGCTACTCAATTTCAAGATGTCGTTAAGTCTCGTGGTGTCACAGTCACTTTGACTTACCAAGTGATAGAGAGAGCACAGGACAACGGCGTCTTAAAATTAAGCAGCGTTTGTTTATTTGGGTAATATAAAGGTAATTAGTAGCTGTTTATTTTCCAGTTATAGATAAATAAATAAAATCTCGTAACCTAAATATGTATGTAATCATCGATATATATTGTACTAAGCACTAGATTTCGCATTCCGAACACTCACTATGTTCAACTGAACTGTACTGCAATCCGTACACCTGTCATCGGCATCGATATGCATGCAAAAAAATTTTAATCAAAGTTTGAACCTGGACCTAAATAACACTTCAGTAATCAAGTAAGTAAAATTATTTGTTGTTTAAGTAAATAAATAGGTAATAATTTACTACAATAGAAAAATATTTCTTTATTTAACTCTTTCAGTCTTGGTGGTTAATGTTACTAACCACCTACTACCGAATTTTTAAATTAAAATCCACTTTATCTAGCGACAATCGGCGGAATTAACATGAAAGTTAGAACCATGCTTGACAAAAGGCAACCATTTGTCGGTGTATTGAATAAATGACAGTTACCTTTTAAAATATTAAAAAGTAATATTAAAGTTGAATTGTAACATAATATTATGTTATTTTATAATAAATTAGCACAAAAAAAGCGTGCCGTCTTCTTTGAATATGAAAAACAAAAGAAAATTAAAAAATGTACTCGATTAAAAATACAATCTAAATAAACAATTATTATAAACTGAGCATTGTATTTACGCATAATCTATGATGACAATTTTGCGGCGTTTATATCAACTGCGCATGCGCGACTGCTATCACCCGCGCATGCGCGAAGACATAGTGCAAATTTTTTGTTTGGAATAGCTTCTCTAGTACTTAGTACATATAACTCAATGTATATAATGAATGAAATATTTGCTGTGTCGTACCTGGTTGATAGCGCGTACAACGTCCGGCGGTACGGGCGTCAGTACAGGCTCCTCCTTTGTGAACTCCGCATCGAAGTTGGACGCCTCGCGCTTACTCTTCTGTAAAAAAAAATATTTAATTTAAAATGTGTCTTCGCATAGAGATAGATAAGAACGCAATATGAGCTGAGCCAGAACGCCCCGTAAATAAGACTGCTGCGGCCGCTAGACAAGGACGGTAACAGCGCTTTCATCAATTTGGATCATAACAGAGAGCGCAAATTGAGTCGTATCAGCGCGTCCCTGTCCTTACGACGCTGCGGCCACCAGAGCTGGACGAAGGCATAGACTCACCACTTTAGGCCGGAAATGCGGGTGCAGCCTGCGCTGTGCAGTAAGTTCTGGTCTGTGTGACGCTGTAGACAGCGCACTTAACTCTTTAGGACCGAAGGGGGCGCAGTAGCAGCGCGTCCCAGTCCATGCGACGCTGTTGGCACTAGAGCGGGACAGAGACATACACTCACCACTTTAGGGCGGAAGGGCGGGCGCAGGCGGCGCTGCAGCAGTGCGTCCCAGTCCATGCGACGCTGTATGCACTAGAGCGGGACAAAGACATACACTCACCACTTTAGGGCGGGAGGGCTGGCGCAGGCGGCGCTGCAGCAGTGCGTCCCAGTCCATGCGACGCTGTATGCACTAGAGCGGGACAGAGACATACACTCACCACTTTAGGGCGGAAGGGCGGGCGCAGGCGGCGCTGCAACAGCGCATCCCAGTCCATGCGACGCTGTATGCACTAGAGCGGGACAGAGACATACACTCACCACTTTAGGGCGGAAGGGCGGGCGCAGGCGGCGCTGCAGCAGCGCGTCCCAGTCCATGCGACGCTGTATGCACTAGAGCGGGACAGAGACATACACTCACCACTTTAGGGCGGAAGGGCGGGCGCAGGCGGCGCTGCAGCAGCGCGTCCCAGTCCATGCGACGCTGTATGCACTAGAGCGGGACAGAGACATACACTCACCACTTTAGGGCGGAAGGGCGGGCGCAAGCGGCGCTGCAACAGCGCGTCCCAGTCTATGCGACGCTGTATGCACTAGAGCGGGACAGAGACATACACTCACCACTTTAGGGCGGAAGGGGGGGCGCAGGCGTCGCTGCAGCAGCGCGTCCCAGTCTATGCGACGCTGTATGCACTAGAGCGGGATAGAGACATACACTCACCACTTTAGGGCGGAAGGGCGGGCGCAGGCGGCGCTGCAACAGCGCGTCCCAGTCTATGCGACGCTGTATGCACTAGAGCGGGACAGAGACATACACTCACCACTTTAGGGCGGAAGGGCGGGCGCAGGCGGCGCTGCAGCAGCGCGTCCCAGTCCATGCGACGCTGTATGCACTAGAGCGGGACAGAGACATACACTCAACACTTTAGGGCGGAAGGGCGGGCGCAGGCGGCGCTGCAGCAGCGCGTCCCAGTCTATGCGACGCTGTATGCACTAGAGCGGGACAGAGACATACACTCACCACTTTAGGGCGGAAGGGCGGGCGCAGGCGGCGCTGCAGCAGCGCGTCCCAGTCTATGCGACGCTGTATGCACTAGAGCGGGACAGAGACATACACTCACCACTTTAGGGCGGAAGGGCGGGCGCAGGCGGCGCTGCAGCAGCGCGTCCCAGTCCATGCGACGCTGTATGCACTAGAGCGGGACAGAGACATACACTCACCACTTTAGGGCGGAAGGGCGGGCGCATGCGGCGCTGCAGCAGCGCGTCCCAGTCTATGCGACGCTGTATGCACTAGAGCGGGATAGAGACATACACTCACCACTTTAGGGCGGAAGGGCGGGCGCAGGCGGCGCTGCAACAGCGCGTCCCAGTCTATGCGACGCTGTATGCACTAGAGCGGGACAGAGACATACACTCACCACTTTAGGGCGGAAGGGCGGGCGCAGGCGGCGCTGCAACAGCGCGTCCCAGTCCATGTCGCGGAAGAACGCATGCGCGCGGATGCCGGCCGCGCCGCCCGCCACACCCAGCCGCCGCGCCGGGCTCTTGGTCATGAAGCCTGCCCGCACGACACACGTACAATAGAAATGAATAAATAAATAAAAGCAATTAAGGAATGGTGGAAGGTGCTCTTCAACTTGGTAAGACATTTTATTTTATTGCGCAGATGTTACTTAGCTAGTTGCATTTTTTACATTGTTAATACTATAATATAATAAAAGCGGAAGGTTTTTGCTTTTTTGTTTTTTTTAAACGATAATCTCTGGCACTATCAATCCGAATTGATAAATTCTTTTTGTATATGATAACTAGATTCATGAAGAATTAGGCTATCTAGCATTACACACTACACCTCTCAGCGATTATTGTTAAGCAAGTCGGAAGACACTCCCAAACTGCTTTATCCGCGTGCGCTGGCGTAATGGTAACAAAACGTACATATATGTAATATAAAAAAGTCCGAATACCATATGCATAATTAAAAATAAGCCACAATAATTATTTCGTGACAAAAAGGTACTGAAAATTAGAGGTCATTTGTGAGCGTTTTTATTAGGCATTGTTTATTAATCCTTATGAACGAAAGTTACTTCATTACCAAGACAATTTTGTTCAATTTAATAAATTGTTTAAATTTATCTGTGTTATCATTATCTATAAAGAGCACAGTTTATTTTCATAGATAAACTTTCCTCTTTACAGCATGTTATTTGGATGCATAGTTTAAAAGATAATGAAAATTTGTAATAAATCAACACTAGAATCGGCCCGGGAACGACGCATAAACCTTAGCCACCTGATGAGAACCGAGAAAAACCGGCAGTAAACACCTACAAAAGCAAGGTGACATGTCGCGCGGCTCAGGTTCACCTAAACATCTGTGAAAATTTCAAGTTATCCAAAATAAATGCCTGCGTCGTATCACTGGAGCTCCTTTTTATATGAGAAACGCGGATCTCCACCGCGATCTCGATATGCCCACAATCCAGTCGTGTAATAAGGAATGATCTTTAAGATACTTTAATTTCATCAAAGAACACTCTAATTCATCGGTGGTGGAGACAGGTACTCCCCAGAGAGGAAAGCTGACCCCTAGGGGACTTCCAAAGAACATTTTCTTCTCGATCCCTTTCTCATTATGTCACAATCATCACTACCCAAAATAAATTGATCGCCCCCTCCTGGAGGCAATCCTATCCACTAACACGATCACACACACACACATAGTACAAAAGACTAGGGCAGTGGTGGCGAACCTTTATTTATAATCGTGCCATTTTTCTAAAGAAATGTTTAATAAGGTCATAGACGTGTCGGTAAATAATTTTGATTTCGTGATTATTGGGAAAATAATAATACTAAGTACTATCAACTCAAAACTCTTACAACAAAAAATAAACAAAGAGTTTTGTAAACGAACTATGTATTTCTTGCGGTAAACGTGGACTTGTAAAGGGCTGTAATGATGATAATGATGACGTGTAGTCGCACGATGTAACTACAATAACAAACGAGGGCGTTTAATAGGATCACTCGCGTTCTTTCGTAATATAATGCTTCATAGTTGACTTTGTGATCGGTAACGTACCCAAAATATTGTGACACGTGCCACTGATGGCACGTGTGCCATTGGTTCACTATCTTTGGACTAGGGCATACCGCGTTCGCCGGCGAACGCGATTTCACAGACACACCGTACACGAGGTTTATTTTTATTTATTTATTTATTTAAAACTTCATATACACACGTGGTATTACTCGTAATACAGGGCATTTTTAGTTTACGCAACACTTCGTACCTTCATCTGAGGGGTCCTTGAATCATATCCTCTCTCCCCCTCCCCTCCGCTAAGCTTGAGAAGCCCCACTCTATTAGCAGGGGCTAGGGTGCTTCGCGACTGAGGTCGGCAGAATTGGCGCTCTCAAGTCAACAGCTCATAAGTCCTTCGAAGTCACGAGTCTTCGAAGAAGTTGTAAAAGCCGCAAGGCAAACAACATACATTATTGGCACATACGAATCGGAGGTGACTCAACTTTTGCTTACATAGACTACTGGAGCTATGGTTTTTTTGCACTCCTGCAGGGAGCACCCTGAGATGTTACATGTGTGTCGTGAGAATCGCCAGCTCCCCAATCACAATCTAATATTGAAATTTTACTTAGGTTGTGGAATTTTATAATTCTTGCATTAATCAGTCAAAATGTATGTGTTTGAGTGTGTGAATCATTTTTATATTCATATAAAATATTATTACAATAAACAATTTTCAATTTATTCTATAAACGGTATAGACTAAACTGTTTCCCTGAGCATTCTTATTTCACATCTTTATCGATGCCCCGCAAGGCCAGGTCTCGGAAATTATACTTCAGAGTCAGAATCAGAATTAGAAATAGTTTATTTCACAAGTTTTTATGATACGGAATTGTCGCCGGCCCTGTTGCGAGAGCTACGAGGGTGTGTCAGCTCTTTTAAGTCTAAAAAGTAGAACAGTGCAAGTGTTGTGTTACCTTATTGTGTAATAATTATTCTATATAAAGATAATTAATACATATATGTAGTCTATTTTTTGTATTCTTATCCCAACTTAAAAACCAATCATTAACCTAGCTTACAGCCTATGGTGACGCGGGGCTATCGCTCGTTTGCTGAGCAGAAGCCTCCCATCTTTGTTTATTACATAGGGTATATCACCTATCTTAGTGTTTTTAAGGAGAGGGTTGAATTAACCGTGACCTCAGAGATTCAAGGTCTTCCACTTGTAGATCAGCCAGCTTGCTCAGCATACATTCGTTCAGTTCGTGGGCGCGGATGTGGCTAAGGGGAAGTCTAGAATATCTATCCTATAGTAGTACTGTGAAGAGCAGTCTGGGGAATTGGGCTGCGGTTTTCAGTGTCATGGGATACTGTCGCTCGAGCCTTATGAAGTATGACCGGCAGTTCCGCGCGCCTGGGGGAATCCGTAATCCAAAATAGGTAGAAGGCATGATTATATAATTGAGAGCATGATTGATATATCTGTTCCGGCATGATATCCGATAATTGAGCCCAGCACTCCTCGGAACCGAGCCGCTTTCTTAACGACCTTCTCAATTTGCGGTTTCATAGTCATAGAACGTTCAAAGATCACTCCCAAATAATGGTTTCTTAAATTTACGCGAACAATACACATTGAATAAAACTATTATTTACGGGGTGAGTCCCCCCCGTGACCATGGGTGCTGTAAAGCACCCGAAACGTCGTGATAATAAAAATAAGTTAAAGTAGTAATGAAACGCGATAAAATGCGTAAATAATAGTTTCATTCAATCACTCCCAAATGTTGAACTTGCTACTGATACGGTAGAATCATTCTTGATTTTTACCGTAGGTTTGAATCTCCTTTTGTTAGTGACTCCGTCTTATCGACGTTGCACTTCAGTCCTCAGTTTGTAGTAATCTACGATAGTTTCCCCTGCCCATTTTGCTCGTCTCGTCACTGCTTTCCGGCTCAGTCGCACAGATGAGTATACGAAGGTTATCTGCGTATTGTAATAGTTTCAAACCGCAGATGCAATCTTGGTAGTCCAATAAATTGCTCACGTACACGTTGAAGATTACCGGGCCTAGGATTAATCCCTGGAGGACCCTCTGCAGTAGCTTCTTTTCTTCGCCGAGCGTGATTCTAAACCTGCCTTGTAACGAGCGGTCCCACAGGTAATTTTCTAGAATTTTGATAATGTTGTTGGGTACAGCTGCATTCCGTAGTTTCTAAGTATTCTGCGTGGTTGATCGAGTCTAACGCCTTGCTCAGATCTGTAGATATCATGGCCAGGCTATCTTTCGCCTCCAGCGCATCCGTGATGAATATGCCGGTGCGCAGGATCTGTGTATCCGTGCCCCTCGCTGTAGTGAAAACGTCGTCTCGTTAAGTCTTTGGTGGTTTTATGCAAAAAAATTCTTCCACCATGGCGGGGACTACACACAGTCCGCTATTGACTAATACGCTTCGAGGAAAGCGTCGCTCTTAAATTTGATTGCATCAGTTCCGATCTGGTCGAGACCGGGCGCTTTCTTGTTATAAATTTTTTACGGAGCTCCGCAATCCATGTTTTGTCCATGTTGTTTGAAGGGGTTCATTTTCTCCGTACCGCTGTCCTACGTGCTGATCAAGGCCTCTTTTACTGTGACTGGTTGGTGATACCAAAGCGTATATTGTTTATTGTTAGGTGTTGCAACTTTCTATTTCTGGCAATTCCACGTTGCGCTGGATGCATCACGTGTTTGCTCTAATATCCCTGGGGTCCTCAAGGGTTTTCAGCCATGCCTCTTCCCAGTCTATTGGGTTCTCAGCGCAGCAGCTCGCAACGTACCCGCCACGGTTTATCTCTAGCCCTATTACGCTTCGTAATGAGTCTGTCGATCTCGGCTGACAAGTGTTCTCTTCTGTTTTGTCTTCGTAATGGAGTGAACGTGTTAAGCGCCAGAGTGATTGCTTTCTCTAATTGAGCTATGTATTCCTCGCATCGTGCGTCACTGTTAATCCTGCCTATTTTACGGTCTACTGCCACCCAAGGTTCTGGTATTATTCCAGGAGTTCCTCATCTTCAGTTTCATATTGCGGGTGAGTTTCTCTTCCCTCTACAGGTTATTTTTGAAACGCTCCCGAAAACTAAGACAGACGATAGTACTAAGAAAACCTTGATGATGGGACGAAAATAAAATTGATCCTGATGAAAAAAGAAACATTTTGTACAAAGTTTAATTAGCTTTATTCACGCTCCATCATGTTAATACAGCTAAATCAAACGATAATTTCATTAAAAAAAATGAAAATACTCAAACATAAACCAGCAGAGAAAATTAAACCTGAAAACAGGTGATTATGGGCTCAAAAAATGCGCGGACGCTGAACTCTTTCGATCTAGTTCGGTGCGAAACAATGCAATAGGTATTACTGTATTCACGCTCACTCTACCCTTCCCTTTCACACACGCGCTGCCGCCTCCCGGCCGACTCGTGTCGCCTCGCAATTTACACCTGTTTAGCGTTGCCAACATGTGGGGAATTCCCCAAATTACGGGGATTGATTGGGGATTTTTTGGGGATTGTTATTATGCGGGGATTTTGAAAACCGATTGCGTGGGCCATATCAGAACCTTTTTTCAAGAAAACTAAATACTTATCTTAACATTTTTGTTAGGTTACTTATGAATATCGAATGACTCCCTTTTTTTAATTATTATCTTGCACCACATTTAATTTTCGGATTTTTTTTTCTTTTGTGTATCACCTGATGCTTTTCATTTCTTTATTTTTTATTTTACAGCAGAGTAAATGCAGCTACTGTGGTCGTTTTTAATGGCAACCAGGGTACGAATTAAAATACTCCATGGAGTAAAATGCTTATTACAAAAATAAGGTGTGAAAAAAATCGCTAAAAAAAAGTTAGTTAAAAAATAAATCTTATAAAATTAATTGAAAATTGTTTCATTATTTAAAATAAAATTGAGGAGAATTTGAAATGGACTTTCAGAGGATTTGACAAATAGGTCAAATTTTAGTAGGTTAATTTCAGTTTGGCAACGCTGCAGCATGTGCGGTATAATACTAAATATATAAAATTGTATAATACAAAATATATAAATTTAGTTTTTGAGACAGTTTCGTGTTGACGTGAGCATGAGCGATACGACAGTTCAAACGTTTTGTTTATTAAATTTTTGCTGTTATTACTTGTCATAATTTGTTGTTACGTTTTGTGTTTCTTGTTTTGTTTTAATAATGCCTAATGCGTACGTTAATAGTGCCTTGGAGAAGATCGCGGGAATGCTTCACGTGCATTACGAATTTACAATTTTATAACGTATCGCTAAATTGTTAAAGCGTCGGGATGGAAGAAGTGTGTCATACTGGAGAGTTCATAAGGTGTGAAAGCGTAAACCGAGCACCAAACCCGATGGTTGGTTAACGCATGGGCAGGTTTATTTATGGATTTAGATCGGTAAGCTGTTTTTTTAAATCACTAAATACTGAACTGATCTGAACATAACTGAATAATCAGAATAATAAACATACCTACTAAATAATTTAAGTAAATTTTTCATAAGCGGGGAATCGAACCAGGTATTTTATTCACTTACCCTGTGAATTCGAATTAAAGTGGCTAGGTGGAGACTAGCACAGTGGCAAAATAGTAGGTTAAGTAAATAAGTTAGGTATTTAGATAAATGTTGTAAATTATTAGGTATTGGTACGATCGCGGGCTGCGGGCCGCGCGCACTGGAGTAGATAAGGTACTAATGAGCCGCGCGTATTAGGCGTCGTGCATACATTGACCCCTATCAGCTGATGTTAGATATTTGAAGTTCACTGTTAGTTTTATGTTTAAGTGTTTTCGTAATTTTTTAACGAACTTATCGTTTCATTTATCTGTACTAAGATGATAGAGCGTGAATAAAGCTAAATAAACATTGTAAAAAAAATTTTTACAACGTTTATTCTGTTTTTTACACTGGTGGCAAGCCTGGTTATCCATTGCTATTTTTGTAACTAGTTTCAATATTTTTTCTTCTTTGAGGTTTATGGGGTCACATACACATATTGGTAGCATGTGCCGTTGCTTTTCTGGGTTATATTTAAGCATGGGCGCAGTTCTGTGCTTGACTGCTCTGTCCGCCTGCGTTTGCTGCTAGCCTCCTGGCTGTATTTCTCATCTACGCTCTATGTATTCAAACTTTTTAAGTTAGTAACGATACGACCAACGTTTCTCTACTATTCTCACAAAACATAAATAAGCATACATCACAAAAATAAAGTGATCCATCTTAGTCCTCAAGGATTATAATCTGCATTTTGATTTTGATCGAAGATATTGGTGATTGATATCTATTGCCACAGCACCTACTTCTATAAAATAAAGCTTTCTCAGGATTTTTTCAATGGTGAAAATCGTACATCATCTATAAAATGAAATAATACAAATTCAGGCGACAAACTAAACAACCGCGAATAAGAGACCTAGTTTTACACTATTTCGATTATACTTTCATTAGAACGATTACAGCATAAAAAGTTCACTGCGGAAAATAGGCCTCCACCAAGATGGATTTTTTATTATTTTGAGTTGTTATTGCGTAGATTCTGCCGCCCAGCTCTTGTTTCAGTTTCCCTCTGTGGCCTCTCACAATATAAACACAACAGGATGATACAGGGTAGTGGATATTCTTATACTAGCACAACACTGATCGATTGACCAACACAAAGCATTATTTGAAGGTCAGAGCTTTGACTGACACTTCGACAATTCCCTACTGCAGGATACTTGTTTGTGGGGGCAAGCAGTTAACTATTAACTGTTCAATTGTAATAAACACAAACATACCCTTAAGTATAGACACAGCATCCTTGGACAGCCACACCGGGTAAAGTACATCGTCGTGTAAAATGCTCTCGAAGAGATCGTCCTCGTTGTCCGCCTCAAAGGGCGGCTGACCAGCCAGCATCTCGTACAGTAACACTCCCAAAGCCCACCAGTCCACAGAGGGACCATACTCCAACTCCTGAAGAATCTGTAATTTATTTATTTAATTTAATAAACGCCAACACAATGTACACTAATAATATAAAAGAAATTTACATTGGCAATAGCCTACTGCCACAACAATTGAGTATATGGCAACTACCATTAACAAAAAAAATATCACAATTTTAAGACCTTATAGTTGTTAAACTTTGATATCCAGCGATGCTGCTGCTCGCGTAGCTATTTACGCGGCCAGCGTGTATGCTAGGGGTTTGTCACGGAAATGGAAATAAAATTACTTTGGATATTATAATGCTCATTATCATTTATTAAACAAGATCATTTTTCATTACTACAAGAAGAAACATATTTACAATTGTTGCACTGCGAAATAATTTTGTGATAATTTCTTTTTATAGATGTTTTCAGTTTTCCATTGTCAAGTTCAATTATGTAATGTATTTGCATTCCGAGACACAATATCATCAACAAAAAATGAGGGACACTTAAGCACGGCCGTCATTTGAATTCAATTTTACTTAGTAACTCATATAACTATAACAGTAATTCACAATAATTACAAATATTATATTTTTCGAAAACGGCACTTAAAATTAGTGAAATAAGTACTATAAAACCAGCTTGACCCACCCGCATGTATTGCGCCCTCCTTTCTGCCAAGGAGGGTCGCGTCCGTTTACGGCTTAAAGATCTCTCGTCAGATCGTTAAGCCATTCCCTAAAAGGTGGAGTTTAGTGGGTAAAAGTCTCCACATAACCACGCAGCCGGCTGCGTGGTATGCTATGAGCATTCTCCACCTCCCTCCCCCGTTACCGGAGGGTTGCCCTTATTTGCTTCGGACGTAAAAAAACCGCATGTATTGTCTATCAGATTCAGTGACGTGCGATAGCAAAAAGGCCTACCCCCCTGACCCACAGTAATCCTCAGTTACCTAAATGTTGCTCTGCACAAGTACATTCGTTTCCCAACTGTAAGGTCGTAAATACCTAGGCGGGCGGCAGCATCGCCTGATATCAAAGGCGTTTCACAACTGTCAGGTCCCTTTAAATTGTGACATTGCTAAACCATCTGCATCCACAATACCTGGATCGGTAAGCTGAAGTGGCATTGGGCCAACTATATAGCTCGATGGACCAACAACCCATGGGGAAGAAATTTTTTCGAGTGGCAACCTCGTCGACCAGATATTATCCAAGGATCAACACCCATGGAGCGAAATGGACCTATAGATGATTTTATAAGGTATCATATGATGAACCCTATCACCGCAAAAGCAGTCTGTATTTGGATATGGACATCACACATCCATGGGAAAGAAGAAGTGGCTAATATATCTCTATAGCAAAGATGTCTATAATGCCATATATTAAAAGTCAACGGATTTGGACATTTCTCTAAGTCACCTCTTTACTACTAATTCAATACTTATGGAATGAAATTAAATTAAATGTTTATTTACAAAGAACTTAAACAGTTGATGTTAAGCAGCATATTTAAATTTCTTTATTATAAAAAATATGGTTAAATTGGCCAGGGAAGAAGCGGCAAATAAAACTCCGCCGGTATCCGCTTCTTGTATTTTATAAGTCAAAATACAATAAGTATATTTAATTAATAAAGATATACGCTAAGTTTTAGCCAATATATGTTCTATGGTTATAAGAGATTAGTACCAGAACCATAAATAACTAGATGTTCAGAATCATAATCAGAATTATTTATTTGTGAAACATAGGTATACATATACAATAAGTGGTCATACATTTCATAGAGCGCTCTGTTTTTCGTAGGACATACAAATATTTTCACAAATTAAATAGTTTAAAATTAAATTTTTTTCATAGTTACTTACTTATCTTCACGCACAATCCCTAAAGGGAGAAGCCAGAGAGAACAGATCGCCAAGTGTCACAATCCTTACATACCTCTTTCACTTCTTTCAGGTTCATTAACTTCTTCATACATGCACGTCTAGGTATCCGAGTACTCTTGACCTTCCCCTCTTCGAGTAATTTGCTCACATGGTCTTCGAAAGTTAGTCTCGGTCTACATCGACATCTTTTAATATTTACTTTCGCGCTGTATATTTTTTTCACCATTCGGTCTTCACTCATTCGCTCAACGTGCCCAAACCATCAGAGTACGCCCCTATCAATTTTTGTGATAAGGTCATCTTTCAATCCTGCCATATTGCGAATCTCTTCGTTTCGCTTTCGGTCGGTTATGGTAACGCCGCACATTTTACAAAGAGATCGCATCTCCACTGCATTCAACTTGTTTTTATGCTTCTTCTGGCATACCCAGGTTTCGCTGCCATATAAAAAAGTCAGTACCAACACTGCGTTATGTATTGCAAGGCGTGCACTCTTCACTACGCCTTGCCTTTTAACTAACGCATTCAGGGCACCATATTGTTCCCAGCAGCGACACGCCTGTCCACATCTAAATCACATCTTCCATCCCGGCTGAAAGCACTCCCCAAGTATACAATTTCATTTACCTGTTCTAGACATTCCTGATTTACCCATATTTCACATTTCGTTCTCTCTTCGTCCTTTTCAAATACCAGAACCTTAGTTTTATTAGCATTCTAACATTTTTTCATAATTATAATAATATAAAAATAATATTATTATAATTTAAAATAATATTCATAAAATTAGATAAAACTCATAACAAATTGCAAGCATAAGATTAATAATATTATAATAATGTATCATTTAAAAACTCGTCTATTTTATAATAAGATTTGTCAAGGAGAAGTTTTTGCAGTGCTATTTTAAATTTTAAGTGATATTATTTGAATTGTGTTTGGAATTTTGATGAATATATTATTTTAGGAGCAAGTCCGAAAAAACTTTTGTGCATTAAAGCAGTTTTACATTTATTAATAACTAATCGATTCAAGTATTGAGCATGTATTGGAGTTTTCTTGACTGATGATAATTTAGTAAATAAGTGTGGGTACTTTTTACAAAAAATGCAGTTTCTATCTAAAATGTAAAGTGCCGGGAAAGTTAACAATTTTAATGATTTAAAATAAGGTACACAACTGTCTGTCGATTATAGACTGCACATTGATCTAATGCAGCCTTTATTACAACCTGACTATAGTCTCTCTGTCAGTTGATCGTCCCCAAAAAATAACACCATATCGAAGAATCGAACCCACTAAGTCATGATACGCTATCAGTAATGTTTCAATATACACTATTTTTTATAATTGAAAATGTACGTATGCGGCTTTACCCATGCGTTTACCAATCCATATTTTCTACGTGCGGTTTCCAAGTGAGTTTATTGTCTATAATTATACCCAGAAATTTATTACTGATAACCTCTTCTATTAAAGCGTTATTGTGTGTATACGCACGACGCTGATGGAAATCCATTATTTTAGTTTTGTTTAAATTTATTATCAAATTGTTATTGTCAAGCCATTTCCAAGTAAGTTTATTGTCTATAATTATACCCAGAAATTTATTACTGATAACCTCTTCTATTAAAGCGTTATTGTGTGTATACGCACGACGCTGATGGAAATGCATTATTTTAGTTTTGTTTAAATTTATTATCAAATTGTTATTGTCAAGCCATTTTATGATTTCACATATACAGTTATTAATTTCGTTTTGGTAATTGTTAAGATCAGTTCACTCATTAATTGCAGTGCTATCATCAGCAAAGAGAACTATTTTGTATTTTATTGCTCTTAGGAGATCATTAATGTATATTAAAAATAATAACGGTCCCAATACACTGCCCTGAGGCACGCCATATTTTATATCTCTAGATTCAGACATATATACATATTCCAACTTATTGATTGGGCATATTCTAGAAATTTCCGTACACTGAGATCTGTTTCATAGGTACGATTCTAAGAGTTTAAGAATATTTTCTCATATTCCATAGCCGTGCAATTTTTTCAGTAAAATTTTAGATAAAATGAGTCTCTTATGTCGTCGTTACAAATTGTTACAAAACACAATTCCTTACCTCAGGAGCAATGTAGTCCGGAGTTCCACAGAATGTAGTGGTTGTTGCACCATCTGAAAAGAGTTGTTATTTAAAATAATACCTTTAGCTATTGACATAAGGTTCCAATTTAAAAATTAATCATCCTCAGCTCTCATAATCTATTAGTCATAGGGCACCTCTGCTTCACAACACACCAGTAACTGGCAGCTGTAATGCAGCTCCCCTCAAAGCTCTTTTATCATCATAGGACTTATGATTTTTGACTAACATAATTTAAAAATAAAAATATAGAGGATATATTCTTCTTCATCATCAACCAGTTAGTCATCGGACGTCATATTTGTATCCTGTTGTAGGGAGGTTTTGTCATAATCAGTTCACTTGGCAGGTGGATTGACGTATGCAATACTACACATCTAGCACCTTGAATGTACTCCCAGTTTCCGGTTAGAGTATTTACACCTAGTTTACACGAGATAGGATATTTCTTGCATTTCTAATAGTCTTATGAAACCGATGAGATGAAACAGGATAATGAATTCACATATGCTGTCACAAGATGGCACTGGCTGTATAACTATGTACTTGCATTTGACACATCATAAACGTTTTAGGCAAAAAAATTATATACAAAAATCAATATATAGTTAGAGATTAACTAAAGACCTTAATATTTGTCAATTATAATAATTTAGAATCGATAAATACTACTAACCTAGTATACCCTCCTTGCACATGCCAAAGTCTGCGAGCTTACAATGGCCCTCGCTGTCCAATAGAATGTTGTCCAACTTCAAGTCGCGGTAAATGACGCCGTGTGAGTGAAGAAACTGCAAGGCTAACGTCACCTCAGCAGCATAGAATCTATAAAGATATTATGTTATTATTAGAAGAAAAGTTTACAATATCTTGTAATAAATTGTTATCCCCGCCAATATCGAGTCAAACTTGTGATTCTAATTCTTTAGAAATACTATTTTTGCATTAAAATACATAAAGATATGTATATAGTAAACATAACTTTCAATTTATTATATAATCGATATAGACAAAACAAACTGTAATTGATAGAATCAGGCGTTACTTTGCGGTCAGCCGCTGTAGAGTCTACATCACCAGAGGATGCCTCGTGTAGAGGCGAAACACGTGTCGTATTATCGTCGATGGTGTGTCTTTCCTGGAATAATGGTTGGAAGTAGTGGTGCTGGGACTAGTGGTGACGGGATTAGATGCACGCAATTGAGGGAGAGTGCGAGAGGTGCTCTTCAATCCAGGTAAGACACATCATAGTATTCAGTTAGCGAAAGGTTGCAAATTAATATCTTTATTAAAACAAACTGTTTTCCTGAGCAATTTTTGGAGCGAATATGAAGTGACACATTTCTATCGACGCCCCGCCAGGCCATAATAATTACATACTCGGAAAGCCAATTTCAGTCTGACCAAGATAGAATGTGTGAACAACTAGTGTGCCGCCACCTTGTTTACTCGTACCAGTAAGGGTGTATATTTTCCTTACATATTTAAAAAGAAGTTCTTACGACGGACAGAACACTAAATGGCGTTAGATACTTCCTCACGATCATATTTAAGTTAGTCGGAAGAAAATATTTCAGTAGGTTTGGGAAGCACTTGATGGATGTTAATGATGGTACTTACGTTTTAACTAAAACATTTACGAGCAAATTATAAACGTGTGTCTGTTAAGAAATCTCGCACTGTATGTACTGTTTTCTTTATTTCTAAACCACAAGCATTCTACACCAGATGATCTTTTTTACCGTCTGGAAAAAAATTGGGTGTAACATATGAACAAGTAGAATATGAAGAGAGAGAGAATTAAACATTTGAAAAAATTTTTTGAACAATTACTTTGCCCTTTGCCCTTGAGCCTGTAACCCTGCAAAGTGACAAGATCAAAGATGCCTATTAAATTTATTGTTTTATTGTCGTTCGTAAAGTAGGGTGGATATGATTTGAATTTCGATAGATTTTAATTTATTTATTTGTTTAATTCAAAATTTTTGATTTTAATTTTTGTAAAATATCAGTGCCATAGGCTTCTACTCCGTTTCACATGTTATAACATGTGAAACGGTGTATTACTATTTTTACCCTATTTTTTCCAGACGGTAAAAAAAGTCATCCCAGTATATACATATATTTGTTTATGTAGTACGTAAAATATATATTCGATATAATTTAATGTTTTTCGCTGTAAACTACCGCATTACACATTTGCCTCACCGGGCCCTTGGCTCGTCGAACTTGCGCGCGCGCTGTATCTGGAACATGAGGTCGCCGCCGTCCACGTACTCCATGACGAAGAAGAGGCGCTCGCGCGTCTGGAAGGCGCAGTGCAGCGCCGTGAGGAACGGGTGGCGCGCCGCCAGCGCCAGCACGCGCCGCTCCGTCAGCGTGCACTCCACGTCGTCGTCCTGGATGATGGCGTCCTTCTTCAGCACCTTCACCGCGTACACCTGCGACCACCACCCACCTCTTTTACCATTGCTACCCCACCTGTGCGACTAGCGAACTTTCGACGAGTTATTCCGTTTATCCATCCTAAATAATCTACACTAGGGTGGATACTCGGAAACGCGTGTTCGTTTATCCACCCTAAACGGGGTATATAATCGGATTTCACTTTATGATTGTTCGCCTTTCCACCACAAGACTATATTACTGATTAATCTTTAATAACCACAATCTTAAACAAAAATCGTATTACGTACTGCATTTAAACCAAATTAAACTTCCTTGTTTTAAATAATCATAATAAGTCGTTTATAAATTCTGCAATATGTCCAGGAAATAACAAACACTAATTTCATTATTAAGTTGAAGTAATTGTATACCCTGTATAAACTTTTCGTTAAGTACCGTACTATTTCCAATACTGTGTCTATATAATTAACAATATATTTATTTAATTTAAATACCTACTTAAATAAAATATAATTGAAATGAATTGTAGTAAAACATTTATTTCATCATAAGGATCTCCAAAAAGACGTAAACTATATTACATCGAATTATATGTAATTGAAAAATTAAAAGTATTTCAGTTTTCACATTTAAACAAGAAGTATTTTATATGTATGCTTATGTCTACTATGTAATCTTGGGCCAGTTTCTATCATGTTTTTATAAACGACTGTACACAGTCAGGGGGGAAAATCGGAAGAAAAATGATATATTTTTCCGCTTATCCGCCCACTCCACCCCCCAGGGTGGATAAACAAGCAATTCCGAGTATCCACCCTAGGGTGGATTTCTTAGGGTGCACAAATGGTATAACACCTTTTCACGTAATAAATCATGAATTGACCATAGCTTTTTCAAAATAACTCCCTCACTTATCTAGTCGCTTCAGTTTTTACGAAACTGAGGTCTTCGTAATGACAAAGTGTTTTTTTCAGTGCCTCGAAAAGCACGTCAAATCAGGAGCAAGGGTTTTGCTCCTGATTTCTCTGCGGTCATCTCAAGTTGCCGTCTCATCGAACTATGAGAGTGAGAGAATAGAGAGTGCACCAGTATTTGAACATACTCGTGCACTATAAAACCGGCCTGCGCAGAGATGGGTAGCATGCATTTGAGGCTACCATTACTATTAGAAATTCAGTCTAGAAGATGTTATTAAATGAATGTTATTAGAATAATTTGAAGGGCTCTCCATTTTAGCAGCTCTTTTTATTCTTATCCGAAATTTTCAATAACTAAAATGTAATAACCTATATTCAATAAAAAATATACTATTCTAATCCAACGTAAGGCAGCAAACAATGTTTTTATTACTCACTTCATCTGTGCCCTTCTTCTCAGCGAGCATGACTTTCCCGAATGAGCCCTTGCCAAGCACCTTTATGAAGTGGAAGTCCTCGAGGGACACCTTCCCCTGCATGCCCTCCGCCTCACCATCACCACCTATGAACGCGATTCATCACCAAACATTCCTTACCACCTTTCTAATTAACTAAATATATAATGAAATCTATGGAACTTCATCCTAGGAAATAAAGATAAAACAACCTTTGTATTTGTTATATTAGCAGTCTATAAGTCATCTTTTTGAATTTGTGGCTGTTTTATGGCTATTTTTTGGATATATAATTTTTAGATAACTTCTATCTCTATTGTTGTACTTCCGTTTTTTGTTAAATATATACACATCAACACCATCTAGGGATATTTTGCACTAAGTACTTAACTCAAAAATACTGGCCGGTTTTAAAATATTTTGAAGAAAGCTTATATGATGATGAGATGATTCCAAATCCGAATTTGAAAAAATATATTAAGAACATAAGTATAGTGCGGCATATCAGCGAGGTTCAAAGGTTTCAATTTAATTACCATGGTTTTTGGTAATTTTTGGTGTCAAATAAAAGTTTAAAACAAATTAGCAGTTAATTTTGAATTTATGCCACTGTATGCATCATGCAGCGGCATCATTTAACTAGAGAGTAAATGTTAAAGCACGCTCTAGGCTGGGGCACGGATTATTGCTGAGGAGATTTTAATAAAACAAAACTCTGATTATGGTCACGTTATCGTGCTACTGGTGAAGTGGCTGTAAGACACCCGGGCGGGAAGCGCATAACCACCCAACGACAAAACCAATTTTTGCAAGTCGCCGCGAGAAGACGACCAAATATTACGGCCATGCAGATGGTTCAAAGGTTTCAGTCGGAGCACCAGTTGTGAGTAACCAAACTGTGAGGAGAAGTAGACTCGTAAAACGCTTCCTACTCCAGCACTGCGCCGAGAAAATCGTGGACGAAGATTTCAGTAGGCTCGTGGGACGATAACCAGAGGTATGTGGTGCTGTTTACTGATGAGTCCCGAATCGGTTTCCATTCTGATTCGCGAAGAGTACGCGTATGGCGAGTTCCTGGTCGTGAGACCCATCTGCAACACCCTCAGGGAACCCATCCATACCACGGTGGGACGTCTATCAATAGTCTCCCCTATCGACTATAAATGGGCCAATAATTTACACTCATGCACGACAACGGCCGTCCACACAGCGCGAGTGAAGACCAGCTGGCTGCAGGAGCACGGCGTATCGGCCTTAGACTGGCCCGCGCAATCACCAGACCTAAAGCTCCAAAGAAGGGCTTTGAGGATCTTTTCTACAAACAGCAACTTTTATAGCAGCAGGACCTGGCAGAATATCCTGTAATACGATCAATTCAAGACAAGCCTTTAATAACTTGATTTAAAGTATGAAATACCGTTGTTATCGTGGGTGGTTTTACTGACTACCGATTTTTCGCGTAATTGCAAAAAACGGAATAATTTCGCTTTATATTTCACTTTTTCTTGAAAAACACATTCATCGTTAGTTTTACCATTGTTTCACTTTCCGTCTTTATTTAAATAAAATTTTACTTACGCAAAAAATATGTTTTGTTCTGAATTCTAGTCTTATAAATGCCCATTTATAAAAATATATACATGTATATTATTTTTAACAAATTTTGAGTAATTCGAGAAAATACAAAATATCCCTTGACGTTGTTTATGTGTGCATATTTAATAGATTGTCTGTCGTTATGCGCCATAAAAGTTATAACATTTAACACATTAAAAAAAGAACTCAAAATTCCTATCGTAAGTGCCATCATTACTTATACTAAAAGAAGGTAACATTTTCAGCTCAATTTGTTGCATAAAAAACATTTTATTATGCATTAGGTATAAGTTAATTTCACCGTAATATCTTTTTGAACAATAGCTTTTTATACATCCTTCATAACCTCATACTCCGTACATAAAGTTGTTGTGCTAATAACATTTAGACGAAGTTCCATATAATTCATATAATAAACTCAGACCAACAAAAAAGATAGAACACTACATACTTTTCAATTCTTTACATCTATATTCTTTCATAATTAATCAAACTTTAAGTGTCCACTGTTGCACGCACACAGTTGCGTCTAAAACCATGTTGCTGGCTGCGAAATATTTTAGACACAAGGTAGATATATGTATCAATCACGAATGATTCGTTCGTTTAAGCTGGTACACAAAAGTATTGATGGTTCATTCATTTGTTTTTGAATGTTCCGGTACAACCAATCACAAACAATTGACGAAACCTTTTTAACTAGTGATTGGTGTGAATTGTAAATGAATCGAAAACCGACCGAATCTCGAATGATCTGAATGAATTCTTTTTAGTGTAGAAAAGAATAGAATGTATGAGTAGGTATACGGATGTGGAGGAGTCGAGAGAAGTGTGTCAGGATCATGCCAAATTGAAGTCTGTGGTCTCTGTCTACTCCTCTGGGTGGCAGGCGTAAGTGTTTATGAATTATGTATTTTATATTAATAGAATTTGAATAGAAATGGATAAATGCGGAAAACGTGTACGTACGTAACGTACATACGTTAAAAACCAACAAAATTATTTTAAACGCAACTTTTTAATTTTAATGACAATGTGTAACAATTAACTTCACCTAAATGCCTACTAGAGACATCTGGTGAGCGGAAGATTATTAAACCTAATTAGTCGAGCATGGTTCCGGCGTCACTTGAAAATATACGCAGTGTTCCTTCTTTGTTGGCCGGAGGTAACAAGCAAGCCCCAACACCGAAGCTAACATACAAGGTGTGGAACCTTCATAACAAGTGAATATTTCCTCCAGATCATCCCAATGCGAGCGCCAAGACGTATCGTTCTGTTGCAAAACACTGTTATCCCATAGGTTTACTGTGCTATCCGTGCCTGTACGCCACAAAGAAATAATAAATAAAAGGCTTCAAAATTGTTGACCGTCAACTGAGCTCTGTAATATTTCATGTTTTGATCATTTATAATATATATCTTTACCCATGTAGTGGCGGTGTAATAATATCCACTACCCCATATCCTCCCGTGGGTATCGTAAGAGGCGACAGAGGGGAGACTTACCTGAAGATGGGCAGCAGCATCTTCCGGACACTGTCCTGCAACTCAAATAATTAAAAACAGCAGTTGCCAACCCACAGCAAGGCAGGTAACAGTAAATATCCTTCCTATAAGGCAATATATAGGAGGAGGCCTATGTCTAGCTAGCCTAGTCTAGGTCTTTTTATAGGCTGTAACGGTAATCTATAATTTTGATTACTAAATCACCATCAAAATTTGTATTTTTTTAATAGTATCAGGGTGACAAACGAGCACACAGTCCACCTGATGGTAAGTGGATGCTGTGGCCCATAGACATCTACATTTATCTTCAATTAAGATTCAAAACGCAGATGCATTGTCACCCCTGAAGACTTAGATGAAATGCCTCGTTTCCAGTAAAAAAGGGTCTCCAGATCTCTACACTCACCATACGAAATACAGCAGTATTAAGCTACTATTTTACGCTGGTATTCTGTGGGACTATTATTCTACCCTGTTTGAGCTGACCCAATCGTGCTACAACCATAATATAGCTGCAGCGTGGTTCTACTGTATGTATCATGAGAAATAAGCTGCTGAGTGGTAGCAGCTAAGAATCCACCACACATATCCTCTTAGTATTAGGTGACTAAAGGTTATCTCAGGAAGAGCTTGTGGCTTCCGATAGGTAATGATGTAACCCAGTATAACCATCTCAAGTATTATCTCATCAAAATTATTGTTATTGATGACGGTCAACGCAAAATAAAACAAAGAAACATAAAGCAACATCCCGCCACCAGAAGCATGTGTATCTGAAAATAAAACCTTGGTAACTGCCAAAAATATCCTGTAGGTCCGTCCAATGCGAGCCCCACAACACGCTGCGGTGTTGAAAACCTATGGATACGGCAACACAAAAAACATTTGCTAACATGCATGTTGAAATTACTCATATGTAACAATTAAAGTTAAAAAATTATGAAAATAAAATATCCCAAAAATTTTTTTATTATGCAGGATGTTAGTGTAAACACCGTTATCCTTGAAACCAGTGGTTTGTTTTCACTTATAGAACGTAAACTTGAAGCGTGATTGCTCCGCGTAACAGTGGCTTAGTGTTGAGTTGTTACGCTGAGAGCCCAGGGTTCAAATTTCACACCGAACAAGTATATGTATGGTCTACCAATAATAATTATTCCGGGATTACTGTCCTTGTGCAATTTATATATGTAAACTGGCTCCAAGGTATTGGCGAAAATCCTAGTGTGAAGGTAAGGTTTAAAAAAGAATATGAATAAAAGAAATGTATCAATTGAGAAATAAGTTATCTCTACAATGCAAAAGTATGTGGTACTTTTAAATTTTTCTAGTTGCATAAAATGGAAAAAGTCAAAGGAAGAAAGGACTAGGTCTATTCCTCATTCCAAATATAATACCATTTTTTTTTATAAAAATCTATGTTGTTAAAAGAATATTCATTTAACCATTTTTATCTAACCATAACACTGGAACTGTCATACCTTTATCATCATTTTTGTCACTGGGATCTTTGCTGTCCGAATCCCCTGATGAAGTCAACTCGGGTGTGCCTTCCATTAAAGCTGTGTTCAGGTACTGTAAGAAACAACAATAAAATTAATATCCTTAAAACCTGTATTGTGGACATTCACCTAAGCTGCCATAACATACAGTGGTGGCAGCTTAAGTGAATGTCCAATGTCAATCCCTTTTCATGGATGTTACAAAAGTTATCTATGGAAAATGCCGATTTCATGGAGTTCTATAGACTGGTGTAACCATCTCACAACTATAAAATCAATAATTATCACTTTATTTCGGACCAAAACCCATGACATGTTAGTTATATAACACTGAGGGATATTACAGACAACTTATAGTCAACCAAATCTAAGAAATACCTTTTAACGTTTCGCATTAATCATTCCGCAATAACTTTGCACAAGCACTCACTCACACGATTTAAAATAACCTTTTATGTAAATCCGAAGAATTATGAAGTTATCTATATTTCATTACAACGTGTATAGTTTTTTTATCACTAATTTAAATTCGAATCTTTCAAACGAAGCAAAATATTAAAAAAATAACCAGTATCAACTTTTTTACTTGACGTCGTTTCAATATGTCGCTATATGTAGGTTACCGTAGTGTTTGGATGATTAAAATTTATTGTCCGAATAATTGGCAAAAATATTCAAATAATCGAATCATATTTCTTTTAGGGCAAGGAATAGTCCGCCGCGCTGCCCCAATGCGTATTGGCGAATTTCACGTCTTCGAAATATTTTTTTTTTTCTTATTTCTCAGACATGTGATTTTCTCACGTTTTCCTTCACCGCCGATCATACGGTAAATCAGCGCTTAAAATTATAATTAACTATTCCTATAAGTATAGGCGGATTCCTATAAGCGGTAAGTATAATAAATATGTAAAAATATTTTTTTTTCCAATAACCACCAATTGTATCTTCTATAAATTACTGCTCTCGTACTACACCCTCCTTCTATTAAACTATATTCACCTCTGACATTTTTAATATCATTAAAGAATCTCGAACGCCCTTTGGTGTTTCATTTTGACAAAGTTATTTTTAAAAATAAATTTATCTTGTTTCAGAGTAGGTAAATAAAATAAGAAAATGGACGTGGGTTCAATTCGGCCTTTGTTCACTATCAACCCTCCATTTAGTAAATGATTGTTAGTTCCCTTTATAAATTTAGAAATCGATTAGAATGAAGAGTAATTTCGCTATACATTTTGTAATTAAGCATTCAAAATTGGTTGGAAAACAATATCTCGATTATACATCGATTATATAATACTTTACTTACTTTACTTATATTTTTTTAATGTATTGCTTGTTTAATTAAATTTTTATTTTTGAAATTCCTTAAATTACATAAATCATGAATAAAACAAGTTTATTTTTTTACTCTGTCAATGTAAATTTGGGTTGGCAAAAAAAACTCATACAACAGAGCTGAAAAAACCACTACGTAATTCAATCTCCCGCCATTTAGAGAAATTACTGTGCGTAATTTTGTGTTTATCTTCTTATTTTGTTACTCGGATTTAACTTTTTGCAATGTTTCTTCTATATTCGTTGAAGCATGTGCTCATATCACAAATGATGATTGGGCAAAAGTGGTAGAAAAAATAAAAAAATAATTACGGATGACTTTGAAAGAGACATTAAACTTGACTGCATTATTGAAAATCGAATAATAATTAATCTAAACAACGTCAGCTTAACTAGTTGTACGTAAAGTGATTGAATAAATTTATTTTAAGCTATTGCATAGCTTCTATCGCGGGCCTTGAGCGCGGGGACCGAATCCAGAAATTCCGTAACGAAAAAAACCTCACGCTCCCCACTCCGACGGGCACGGAGGTGTGGCGTTGAAAGCCGTGCATCGTCTAACGTCGTTTCAGTTCGGCAGGATTCGGCACTCGGCAGACTTCGGCACGGTGTTTGTGTGCGTGCGACTAGACGTATGCGTGTACACTAGCTGCTAATTTAATGTAAGATATTAAAATATTTTAAACAATATTAACTTCTCATTTATTCAACAAGAGAAAAAAAATTGTTTTCTTATCGGTCACCACGCTCAAAAAGTGTAACTTGATTTAATATCAAAGACTTAACTGCATAAATAAAATAAATAAATAATTATAATTGCATAACTTGATAAAAATGCTATGCAATAGCTTTACCGCGGCAGTCACCGAGTGCCACACGTATTTTTTTTAATCTAGTTTCAATCTAATATTAGTTTTTATGTAATAGTTTCTATGTAAGTATTGTAATAAAACAAAAATTGGGACGAAAGACAAAGAGCAAGGTTAGCTAATAAGAGTGAAATAATCTTACTAACACAACCCTAGAACAACTATTATCTACTGCCTATGTATGGGGATGTCATGCCTGACAGCATCATCTAGGATGCTTTTCCCTTGATCAATACATAAACTCTGATTTTTCATTCCGTAGAATTCTGACATTTCGTAAGTGTTGCTACTAAAAAAGTTCTCCACCGAAAAAGAGACAAATTTGAACCATTTGAGGGCAATAAATAATAAAATGCTACGTATTTTTTATGTTTCACCTACAAAAAGGTAAATCTAAATATTTACTTATACAAGTCACCTAATACAAAAATAACAAATATTTCAATATCACGAACAATATATCTAATTAACTTTAATTACTTAATATTTTATTCTTTAGCTGGCATCACTGTCTACTAATTCCAGGTTTAAAAAACCTTTTAAAAAAATGTTAGCTGTCACGTCGCGTCTGTCACATTGATTGATTTTCATTCGACTTCTTTGAATGCTCGAATGCGCATGTGTTCTCGGTGTTTGCTGCTATTTGTTGTTATTATCTTGTTATATTTGTTAAGTTTCTGTTATTCTGTTAAGTTTTTTCTTGTTGACCTTTCGTTTTGTGATCGTTTGTTGATTTTTATAAACGTTATGGAGCCACAACCTGGCCCTTCCCGGGAAGCAGCCCCATCTGACAGAGCACAAGGCTTAGACTTTCTTTCTCCCAGAAAGAAGCGTCCTCGTGGTGCTTTTACGCCCAACGAAAAGACCATAATTCTAAATATTTACAAATATAATATAGAAAATTGGCCGCAAACAACTGATTGGAGTGCAACGGAATGTGCTAAAAAGACTTCTGAGATGACTGGCGTGGGTCTGTCAAGTGTCTATAAAATTACCAAAGAATATAAAGACACAAAAGAATTTCAAAAGCCGAAAAAGAGTGGACCTCAACTATCTTTCATACAAAAATTTGACGAATTCACTTTCGCCGCAACTCGACGAAAGGTTCACGCGTTTTTCTACAGGAACGAGATTCCGACTATTGAAAAGGTAAAGTTATTGCTAATTCTTTAACACCTCGTTGCTGACATCCCCCATTGTTTTAAAACTATACTTTAACCTGTGTTGCCTGTCTACATTTTAACTGTAATGTAAATGCTTATTTCAGATTCACCAAGAGATAACTGGTGATCCAGACATGCCTGTTATGTCGAAATCAACATTAAGAAAAGTATTGAAGCATTTAAATTTTAAATACACAAGTCGCAAACGTCGAAGTGCGCTAACAGATCGCAAGGAGATAGTACTATGGCGTCAAAAATACTTGCACCAAATTAAACAATATAGAAGAGAAGGCAGGCTTATATATTACCAGGATGAAACGTGGGTAAACGAAGGCAAGTATTGAATTATGTGGTAATTAACTTTTTATAACCTATCTTTTCTTCAAAGTATTAGTCGGAAATCGAATTCTGTACTTATGTAATACTTAAATTAACTTTGTTAATAAATTTTTGTTACCAAAATGAATAAATAAATAAAGAAATCCATGTTTACAGGTAATATTTTTCAATTTATATGCATATATAACTGTCCTCATGTATAAGTGAAATATTAAATATATTTTTATTTTCAGGACATACCGTCAATAAAGTGTGGTGTGATACCAACATTCAATCTTCACGACAAGCTTTCCTCGATGGCTTGACAACAGGGCTTAAGGCACCAACAGGCAAAGGGGGGCGACTTATAGTTAGCCATATAGGGAGCGAAGAAGGATTTTTGGAAGATGGTTTATTAGTTTTTGAGGCAAAAAAAGGCTTGGCAGATTACCACAAGGAGATGACTGGGGAAGTATTTGAGGAGTGGTTCACAAAAATACTTCCAAAATTAAAACCAAACTCGGTAGTAGTGTTGGATAATGCTCCCTATCATTCGAGGAAGGTCGAAAAAGTACCAACGAGTGCATGGAGAAAAGGCGATATCCAAGCGTGGTTGACTTCAAAAAATTTAAATTTTGAAGAAAAAATGCTAAAAGTTAATTTATTGGAAATTGTGGGTCAGGAGAAATACAAATATCAACAGTGTATTGTAGACGAGATGGCCACAGCACAAGGCATTACTGTGCTTAGACTGCCCCCATATCATTGTGAGCTCAACCCTATTGAATTGGTGTGGGCTCAAGTGAAGGGGCATGTCGCAAGACACAACAGAAGTTTTAAAATGGCGGAAGTTAAAAAACTATTACTGGAAAGTATAAGTAGTATTACTCCTGATAAATGGCAAGAATGTATCAGCCATACAATCAAAGAAGAAGATAAGATGTGCACTCTCGACGATTTCATTGACACAGTCGCAGACTCTTTAATAATTCATGTCAGCGATGATGACGATGATGAAGATAGTGATATAAGTATTAATGATGACTAAAGATTTTAATAAAAATATGTTATTTTTACTTGTGCATTTTTTACTGTTTGTAATGAAAAGGGACGTAATTATCACTCGCCGTAAAACCATGTAGAGTACCGCACTTAATAAAATGGATACATTTACTAACAAATAAAATGTATGTATAGACTCAGATGTTCAGACACGTATTGAAATTGAAAAATGTGCCCGGCCAAAAAGGTTTGTAATCTCTGACATGTCAAAAAATGATAGCTGTCAGAATTCTACGGAATGAAAAATCAGAGTTTAGAGTAGTATAGAATATTTAAGACCAGGACTTTAGAATGTGAAATTATTTTATTCTTTTTGGTTCTTTGAAATCGGCTTTTACCTTTAAAAAGTAAATGTTTTTACCCTTTTAAGTATACTAAGGAATGTCATTTCTCAACCTGAACCTCAATGTCGTATGTCAAATTTATATCCACTCCTGAATCTACTTAATAAAAAAACATGCTCAAATTCGATTCACAATTTACGGAGAAACCGCTTGACATATACACAAAAGAACATATTCAGTTGATAAATTCAAACCTCCTTCTCAAACCCCGAACGCACTTCTTTTTAAAATACTGGGTCAATCATTTCTGATGATGAAGTATCTGCCCAACATGGACTGTATCGGCAGTTTGTCGATACACATTAGATAAATAACACTTTATTTATACCAAAAATATATATAAATATAAATAAAAAAGGAGCAAAAAGAAAGGTGATATAAAGGGCGGTCTTATCGCTAGAAGCGATTTCTTCCGGACAACGTTTGAATGGACAGAACTGCAAGAGAACAAAAAAAACATGTGTGGTTCGGCGAAAACGCTAAGATTATTTTTATTATTAACCATAAATAGTAATTATGTCACGTTAGTTGTATAACAACGGCGATTCCCTTGTACTTTAGTGCGGACCATTTTTCAATATTCGCAGTACTTTGGGGGACTTTTTATACGCGGTACTTTTAGTCCCCAGTGTGCTATTACATTTTTCTGACGTGTTGTGTTGTGACGCATCAAGCAGTATCGGTTTCATACATTTAGTATGGTGAGATTTATATTTGCGGGTCGTAAAGTTTGTGATGGCTTCTGTGCGACGCATCAGAAAAGATTCCGATCGCGTCAGAGCGGTGAAGGTGGTGGGAGCGGGGAGCGGGGAGCGGCCGCCTGACGACACATCAGACAAGTGTGCACGCGCCACTGTTGTGTTCTGCCGCGTCAGAACCGCATGTATCTTTGTCTCGATAACACCAAAAATTATATATTTTCTTCATAATCTGAATCAGTTGGATGATTCATAGAAAAACATAGGGAACGTATGAACTCCACGAGAGCTACAACTATATTGATTCAAAATATTGTCAGAGGGTGACAGAACACGACTTACAGATGTGAAACTACTTGCTACTTGCTAGCCAACACGTCAGAGCTTTATGCTACGTAATTATAAATAATTTATTACAAAGGACAAAAAGTATACAGAAGACTGTCTCACCTGCGCAGGCCTTTAATGCCTCCCCTAATGAACATAAGAACTCTTATTTTACCTTAGACGCCCTAGGGCGCGGATTCTTGTCGGGCGAAATGCCCATCTCGTTGAGGATCTCCGCCATCATCTTCGTGTTGATGCCGCAGTTGTTCGCTACGTTCTTCTGGCATCGCTTATGCACATTCATCGAGCAAACTGGAGAAAGATTTATTTAAGAGTAAAAAATACAAATAAAAGCATTAGACGAAAATCGCTCCATGTGTTTTATAAAATGTAAAGTCAGTTTGAAAAGGTTTAGGTTTAGAACTTAGCAGTTAGAGCTAATGCCTCCTACAGACTAGCCGTACTTGGCCAACAACAGGTGCAACTGCGACTGTCTATACACAGCATGTAGACAGTATCAAATATTTATTGTAATATTAGTACAAACTGCCTCGTCGGTCTAGTGGTTGTAAACGCGACTGCTGATCGTGAGGTCCCGGGTTCGATCCCGGGTTGGGCCAAATAAGTTATCGAGTTTTTATGTCAAAATATTCTCAGTAGCTGCCCGGAGTCAGAAAATTGGCGGTGTCTCACCCCCGTGCCTCGGAGAGCACGTAAAGCCGTTAGTCCTGCACCTGATCTCTCTCCGGTCGTATCGGTTTACCGTCACATTAGACTATTAGAGTGAAGGAATAGTGTGCTTGCGCATACATTTAGGCACTATAATCCTGTCTTGCGCCGATGGCTGGTCTCCATTGTGGCTTTTCGTCATGACCATAATTCGACCGTGACTTAAATTATGGTTGTGGAAGCGATGAGGTCGGCTTGACGAGGAAAGACCAAGCTCTCAAATGATATGTGAAGTGATGAATGATGAAGCCTAAATCGCGCTATCAACATTCCGAATCATAAACAGTATATATAGAACATCTCCGAACTATCAAACGGAGCGTTGGCCGCTCCCGGGCAGAACACCTTGCCCGGCGGGAGATCTCCCCTTTTCCTTCCACGGCCAATGTGGTGACCCCGACGTGATCTGAACGCCACTTCGGACTTCAAGCTTCATCATCGTCATAAAATACCCCACCCATTCGCTCCCGCGCAGATATCGTCACACGTCTGCAGTCTTCATATCCTGCAAGCCATCTTAGCTTCACAAGGTTTATCGCAGCACTGGAATAATAATGCTTCCTGTTCCTTCAAGCTACTCTCTGCGCCATACAGTGTTCGGCACGGCTTCACGGCACTCTCGCAGATTACTTGCCTTCTTCTCGACTCACCGCAGACTACAAGGCAATATCCTGGCACATGCACATTCGTCAACAACGAGACTGCAATATCGACCTCCGGTCTAAGCGGAGGGGTGATGTAGCGGCGCTGTCGTCGCGCCACAAGCGAAAACACACCGAAGCCTAAATCATCGTCATATCAACATTCCGAATCATAAACAGTATATATAGAACATCTCCGAACTATCAAACGGAGCGTTGGCCGCTCCCCGGGCAGAACACCTTGCCCGGAGGGAGATCTCCCCTTTTCCTTCCACGGCCACACCAGTTTGTAATGACAGCTTAATGTTGTTTCATATGGTAAGTGTATAGAACCGGAGATCCTTTTTACTGCAAACAAGGCATTCTATCTTAGTTCTCAGGGGTGACAATACATCTGCATTCTATGCGCCGCAGAATTCACTTACCATCAGGTGGACTATATTCATTTGTCATGTCTTTCCATAAAAAATAGGGTTTTTAGTCAGTATAAAGAGAAAATATTTTTTTTAACTTGTTGAGCTCTTTTATAAAACAAGATACCTTATGCACTTAGACCAGTAGGATATCATCATTATAAAGCTGGACTAACCTTCGCATTGCAAGCCCTGCTTTATGAGGCCGTAAAGCAGCGAGCCACAATGGTCGCAGAACGTGAACCGCTTGTATGAGTGAACGACGAAACGGTGCGGCACATTCACGTTGAAACGCTGCCCACTCGATACGGTCACGCCACTGTGTTGCTGCGAATGTCAATCAAAAATAGTTATTTATACTGTAACTAGCTCTAGTTTAGGTTGTCAGACTCCTGTTCTGTCTAGAAGTCCGTCTAAGTAAGTGTACCACTTTCTTAGCTGTTTCTACCACGAATCGGCTGTGCATGCATTGCTTCGTACCTGTTTGTCAACAAATTGCAGTGCTTCCATTGCTGTTTTGATGAGAAGGCTAGAGACAGCCAGTATGCATATAGATTGAGAGGCATTCAATCTTTGTCCTCAGTGGTGACAATCCATCTGTAGCTTGTTTCAAGTTGGCTTTAGGTACCTATTGGACGGCAGTAACCACTATATATGCCTCTCAGTATATTTACGAAATTTTATGTTTGTTCACAAAAAGAAAGGTAGTTGTGGTAAAATAGTGATATCCACGCTGCAAACACTAGGAGCAAACAAAGGCTAGTGATACCAGTTTCTTGACTCCACAGAGTCAGTAATTCATTCTTGGAGCAATGTAAAGTCCCAGAAAATATTTTACTATAATATAAATGAATACGTGGTTGATAATAATCCCTGGCAATTTGGTTACTTCCAAGCTGTTCCTAAAATAAATTTTGTAAATATTTTGTAACCATTCATATTGTAAAATTTATTTTTAAAAAAGATCCCGCTGGGTTTCTTGTTGGTTCTTCCCAGGACAGAGGTTTTTTACCAACCAGTGATAAAGTAAAAAAATTACTTTCAATTTACATGTAATCTATATTGAATAAAAAAATATTCTATACTATTCTGCTTACCATCAGGTAGACCATAGGTTCATTTATCACTTCAGTTTTATTTAAAAAAAAGCGGAACAATGCCTAATTGAGATGGTGGTGGGTGTAAGAGAATTCAATAGTCCCGTGGGTTGCGTAAAAGACAACTATGAGAGCCAAAAAATCTCATGGAAATCAATTAACAGCGGTATAACTATCTTGTTAACGACAGGCGTAAGTACCCACATCATAGACGAGAAAACGCGTCTAATACGGCAACACAGAGAAACAAAACAGGAGATAGGCTTCAGCATCTTCTTGGTAACAAGTAATAAACATAAAAAACTGCGATTTGATGTTGTCGGAAAAGCCGAAATAAACAATAAATTGCTAGGGTTACCAACGGGAAGTAATAAAAAAATGATTTTAATTTATTTCACGTTTAAACAAAGTCCCGTGTATGTGGAAACTAATAAAAATTTTATTCTTTATCTTTAAATGAGGACGAACTCAAGTCTTTTAACGCACATGTAGTGTGAACCATTTTAATTAATTTGCGTGACAGGATAACCGTAGCTGTCCGCTCTGCCCGCGTTTCAGCCCGCACCGCACGATTGCTTCGTCTAGTAGTAGTAGTTAAGACTGTGGTAATGATATATCATGGATGAAGAGGTGTATTTATAACGAACCATATGAATTCTCAGCCTCATTTTACAACTTACACAAAATAAATTTTCAATGTCAACAGATAGTTGGCCGTTAGTAACAACTAGCCATCTATATGAGCATCACTGCTGGTCGCAGGCCTCTTTTTCAAATGTAAAGTTTCCTTTCATGGTAAATCAATTCATAAATGTGATTAACAATGCTTTTTTTTCTTTGATTATGGACTCGTATGTTAATTCTTTTGCTGGTGTCAAGAAATAAAAAATTGTCCTTTATAATAATTTTATCAAAAACTTCCCCAGAATATGTTGATGCACCACATTGAAGAATTTTTGTGAAATTTCGACAAAAGCTTCCAGCACAAGTTCTGTCGTTTGCATACACAAAACCACAATCTTAACAATTTGGTGTGAGGCTCTAAGATGTGAACAATTAGGACTTACCTCTTCCTTCATTCCTGGGCACTTGGTGACGACAGACGAGTGACATCTTTTATGCACCACACATGTGCAAACTGCGGGGCCAAAACAATACTATGTGTACACAAATAATGATCAGGAAACAAAATATTTATACAGGAATCATATAAAACTCAACAATGAAACTAACATATATAAGCTCTCAAAGAAATTGTTATGTACAGCTATATAGATATAGGTGATGGCTGAACCCACCTTATAATGTACGTTCAAATAAAGGCCAGTGTGGCAATACTAACCATCGTTCCCATTCACACACTTAACAGAAATATATTTTAATCTAAACATATTTTAATCGATAATTACTTTAAAAATCTAAATGACGAAATAAAAATAAATCCCAAATAAGGCGAAACCGGGACGAGTCGCTATTATTGAGTAATATAACTAACATAAATTATTATAATTTTACTGTATCATCTAATAAAAGTGGTATGACATATTATGTAACATAAATAAAAAATACATTGGCTGCGTTTGGCAGAAAAAAGCGCTAGGAAGCGCTTGTAAACAAAATGGCGAAGGTATACAGTTTTCGGCCAGGACACGTTTGCTAACTTCAGTAGCGCTGACACAATCCGCCATTTTATTTATTTATTTTGTTTGTTTTGAAGTAGAGTTTATTAGTTGTTTTGTGCAATTAGTTTCAAGTAATATAATGACATGAATAAACATATTATACATGTTATTAAAAATTCATGATTGGTAAGGTTTTAATATGATATCTTTACAAACATATATTTAAAATAGGTTAGGTTCCCTGGTTAAAGCTATCTTAGTGTCCTAGAGGAAAATAGCTACTTACGATTTGACAGCGCTTACCGCTTACAATTGCCATTTTGCTTACAAGCGCTTCCTAGCATTTTTTCTGCCAAACGCAGCCAATATCTTTCTTTTTATTTTTAATGGGAGAAAATAAGATTAAAAAATACAAGAGTAAAAAATATGAGCTCACCTTGACACTGGTAGCCTTGTTTGCCGAGTCCCCTGAAAAACAAATCTCAATGAATTTTCAAACAAAACCCAAAGTCATTACTACTAATATATAATTATAATATAAAGTCTTGAATCAAATAGTTAAAGTACTACTAAGCATAGGTCGAACACTAGAGTATAGGCATGCTGAGCCATTTACACGGACATTTTGCTTTTTTTATAGAATAAAGGTGACAACAGTCCACCTGATGGTCAATGGATGCTGTGCCTGTAGACATCTACACCTACAATACAATCAAAATGCATGCCTCATACCCAGTAAAAGGCTCTGCAGTTCTCTACACTCACCACAAGAAACACAGCAGCCTTGAGCTGCTATTTTACACTGGTATTCTGTGAGAGTGTGGTCCTACCACGGTCAAATCGACCCATTCGTGCTACAACCGTAATGTAGCTGCAGCATGGCTCTATAAAATTTTAAAAGGTCTTAACTACATCTATTAGGGGCTGCCTTATACTACGCTTCATTGGTTGTTGGTTCTTCAACCTATAACCATGATAATATAATGGTGTCTAATCTCCATAATACATATAAACTTGTCAAATCTTTTTAACTAGCCTGTAAAGACTGTATGCAGTTCTCTAGTATTGGTCTTTAGACACTGATGACCATTTGTATCGATCCCAAAACAAGAGGGCAATAGAAAGCAACAACCACACTGACTCATTTATGAAAGAACTAACCATATAAACTCGCGGCAGTGGCTGCAGAATGTGGGCTGACGAAGGAAAGTGGCCATAAACTTGTGTCCATTCACTTGATGCACTCTTCGTCGCAAGGCGCCGCGTCGACGTGCGAAACCCGCACCCTCTTTGAACTCGCGCCCGCGAGTCGCCCGTCCTTCTGTCGCTCCACCACCTTTGATCAATGAAAATTTGTTAAAATGACATTATCAAAGCGTAAGCAAAATCACATCCCCTACGACTACCGATATTATTGTTAAAATATACATTTAAAAAATATTAATATAATACATTGTAAATGAATTTGTTAACATAGCATTGATAAAAAGACAATTTCTTGCCAATTCTACTCTGAGAAGATCTTTTGATCCATTTCCTGAACCAGTGCAAATTATGTTTATAAAAAGACATATCAAAATTTCGTTCCCCCTGTGCGATAAAATCCTTAAATTTAATTTTATTTAATATCCAGTATTTGTATAAATATAAAAAACATCTATACAAATAAATAAAATTGAATTGTCTGTAATGTCAAAATAACTTTAACTAATTACATATGAAAGTATATACAATATGCGTAACAAAAACAAAACTAATTTAATTTTGCATGTCTGTTTGTTTGTTTGTTCCGGCTATTCTCGAAACAGCTGAACCAATTTTGATTTTTAACATGGAGAAACTGAAAATACTTTTGTCTTAGAAAAAGAATTAGGGTTCCACAAATAAAAATTAAACCCATGAAATTACAATAACAAAATCCGACTCAAATAGGCAGTTACAAAAAAAAATTTTCATGCGAACAAGTCGCGGGCATAACTAGTTATGAATAAAAAGACTAGACTTAAAGGTTAAACACAACAACTAAGTAACTTTCAATTTGATGAATAAAAGTTTCTCACAACCATTTTGTGATATTCTTTGGGGAAGAGGCCTATGTTCAGTAGTGGACTTGTGAATGACTGTAATGATGATGATGATGTAGCAGAATAATTAATAGTACACATAACGGAATAGAATAGAATAGTTTCTATTCAATATATATAATAAATAGGTGTTAGTAAGTCATTTTTTCCTTTTACCACACCACCGAGGAAGACCTCTGTTCTGAGATGAGACTTTTTTTCCAAATTAACATCAAACAATGAAAAAAAACACAAGACTGTACAATTAATTACACAAATAATTTAAAAAATAAATTGGAAGTGACAAAAAATTGACAAAAGTTTTTATCAGCTATTTATTTATTTTATAATAACCCTTATTAAAGCTGCAGTACAAACATCATCCTTTATGAGACCTACCAGCAGTAGACTTTTACTTTTTAATGAAAAACCCTTTTTATACAGTCTCTGTTTACTGACTGACAACCATACAAATGCTCTTGATATCATATCACATTAAAATAAATCATAAGTCAACATAATACTAGTAGTAATGTGTACATAAATGTTAAATTTACTAACCTTGAGAATTCCATTTCAGATCTATCTTCAGATGCAGTTTTCCTTGAGGTTCTAGGTCCACCTGAAAATTAGTGTTAATATGAAAATAAATGTAAAAATAGTAAATAAATGTAACTCCATCGCTAACTATGGCAGTAGTGGTATATATATATAAATCAATATATATATATATATATATATATATATATATATATATTTTTGTCTGTTAGTCTCACTAAAACTCAAAATGGCTCTGGTTCTGGTATTGTATTGACAAATTATCATTATATATATATATATATATATATATATATATATATATATATATATATATATATATATATATCGTTATGATAAATAATTAAAATGACTGGAGATCCGGAAGCTCAAGAAATTTCGAAAAATTGGAAATGGCACCTATCTTATAGATTCACATTCAGGCAAACTTATTCTATCAGAAGAACTCTGTTCTATAGTCTATTGAATAGAAATTATCTAAATAGGACATGGTTGTGTGAGCAAGCAATTTTAGCTACAAAAAATAATGAGAGGATACGAAATGTATACCAGGAGATGAAAAACTGTATAAATCAATAGCCACAAGGATGAATCAAAACAAAAGTGTGAACTTTCCAACAGATTTTTTAAATTCCCTGAATCCATCTGGTATGCGAGGCATGTACTGAAGCTAAAAATTCAATCACCAGTCATATTATTACAAACTCTCAATTCGCCAAGATTATGTAATAGTACAAGATTATGTATAAAACAACTTCTCAACAACATCATTGAGGCAGTAATTGAAGAGGCAAAGAAAAAGGAAAACCCATTTTTATACCAATAATTCCATTAATTTCAAATTCTGTTTTAAATGGTGACAATTTCCTCTACAATTAGCTTATAGTATAACCACAGTATAATAAATTATAGACTGTGGTATAATTATCAATAAGGCACAAGGTAAATGTTCCAATATTGTGGAGTGAATTTGGGAGAATCCTGTTTTTCACATGGTCAACTGTATGTAGCATTTTCGCGCATTGGACAGAAAAAAAATTATTCGTGTATGCACCAGAACACAAGACAGTAAATGCAGTGTAGTATTTTTGTATAGGGAATAAAAAAATATTTTAAAAAAATTTAACAAGATTAATCATGTATTCTTAATTTAAAAAAATAACTAATTTAATAAAAGACATGTACATTAAGAAATATTTGATAAAAATAACCCAGCAAGGTGGGTTTTCATAGCAAGTAGATTATTATATTTTGTGCCATTAACCAAAATCAAATCCTTTTACAAAAACACATTAAAATAAAATTTTAATTTTCAAAATACTTGTAAAATATGTCTATTTGAGAATGAAAAAATCTTGTGTCAAGACTTTTTTATACATAAATAGTACATGCAAATAAAACAAAAATTAGAACAACTATTTGTAGATTATACCACATACTTCTCCCAGGTGAAAGATAAACCTCTGCTACCAAGTCATCAAACTATAATTAGTAGGAGTACAAAGTATAAGGAAAAGTATGCAACAAATTTTAATTACAAGGGAAAAATATAAAAGATGCATTCATTATGTTGATATTCTGAAATAAAACATGATTGATATGTTCAAATAAAAGTAAACTCATTTTTAAGATAGAATAGAGTAGATAAAGGACAGTATTAGTGTCATCATATAGAATTACATAATATAATGTAAAACCAACAAGTATTATATTATTGTTAAATAAAATCATAATGACAACAGATAAATGCTATGTAAGAAAGATAAAAATAAAAAGAGGAAAAACTACAAAGTTTCACAACATCCAACAACTGAGTCACAAATTCAGTAAACAGGATGTCTAAATGGAACAAAATGAATCAATATAAAGAACGAAAAATTCTGGTTGTTCTTTTTATAAAGAATATGAGTGACAAACACACAGTCCATCTGATTTGTAGACCTACACCTATCCTCTATTAAGAATCAAAATGTAGATGTGTTATCACCCCATAGCACTAAAATAGAATTACTTGTTACCAGTAATGTCTCCAATTCTCTATTCACACCATACAAAACCAAAGCAGCTTAAAGCTGCAATGTTATTCTGGTACTATATTTATATTGGTATACTCTCAGCAATCAGATACTTCGCTATTCGAGTCTACCCATTCATGCTGCAACTCTAATATGGCTCCAAGCTGAGCTAGCAGAATGGCTCTACCACATACGACATGTGAAACATGTACAACATTTCATACATTATATTTCATACATTCATAACATTTCATGTGCAACATGGATTTATGACAGTGCATATGGCCCTTTTTACTAGATATGAGACGTTTCATGTTTGTCTTTTGGAGTGACAACGCATCTGCATTTTGATTCTTAATTGACAATATATGTAGATATGAGCTTAAAGATCTATGGGCCACCGTACCCACTTACCATCAGTTCGACTGTGTGCTTGTTTGTCACCCTTATTCTATAAAAAAGGCATTTGAAATTTAAATGCATTTCTATTCCCTTTAGGTTTGACACAATTTTAATCTTAATCAACCCAATAATTTATATAGTATATATGGTATATATGTATATATAAGGTCAAGTTCAGCATTGGAAGGTAATTTGTAAATTATTTTATTTATTTATTTTAATTTTAATATACACAAATGGTATATAGTTGGTTGTTACAGAAACAATTTTTAAGTCATCAATTCAATAATGTTAGTTCAATATTTCTATAGGGTGTGCAGAAAGAGCCTACACATGTATGTCAATCATGTACTGAATTCTATTTACCACCTCTGCACCCATAGCACTACATAGTGTAAGTTCAGTAAGTTGATGTCACAGTCAACACTTGCCATTAGGTGAGCTAGTTGCTGATTAGCTATAAAAAAAGAAGTGACCAAAGGAACTAACCAGCCACCTGATGGTGGCTACTTGCAATCCATAGACTTCAAACAAACGCTACAGAAGCAATGTCACCTCTGAGTACTAAGATGGAATAACACACAGCCTGTTATCATACCAGCTCTGTATACCCTTCAGACCGATATACAGCAGCAAACACTACTATTTCAGAAATAAATAATGATATGAAATAGGCACACTTCTACAATCCATTACATTTCATCAGTATGAATTTTTAGATTTTCACAAAAATATTTACCAATAACAACATTATAAAATATTAGATCTAAATACTATTGCGTATAGATAAATCTTATCTTAAAATTATTATGAACGAAAAGAAATGTAACAGTTTATTTTCAGTCAATTAGCACATTTACTAATAGAATCTTCAATTAATTATATCCTAAAATATAAATTATATAGATACCCAAATTAAACTTGTTTTAAATTTTATTAAAAGATTATTTTAAAATTTTTATAATAATACTCACCCAAAAATCTGTGGCTTCTTTATCCCGGTGCATCAGATCTTCAAAAGGTATGGTACAATTAGCAACAAAATCATCTGGAGGTATGGCAGCATCATGAAACACTGTAATACCCAAACTGCAAAAAAATATTTAGCTTAAAAATATAAATACAGTACTTCACTTATAACTTGTATACATGTATATATTTGCGATATACCTAATTACATTGTGCACTTCATGTATAAAGGTCTCATTCCAAACGGGGTCAAAAGTTTTGGGTTTAGTGCTTGAACGATCCAGGTGGTGTTCGTCGGCGTCGATCGAGACGTACGGGTCTATCGGCTGATCATCTGTGAAGATATCGCGTATTTACAAATAATACCAACACCCATTTTGGTAAACATGCTACGCCTATTTCTTGCGCAAAAAACATGTAGTACATTTTAAGGAATTAAAGTAAATTTATGCTAGTTATTTATATTAGAAGTTAGTGTTTTGTTTTATATTTATGGATGGACTAACCAGGTTTCCCGAAGGTCATGTTGTGCCGTTTCTGAAAGTCGGTCGGTCTGAGGCCCGTCGCCTCGCACACCTTTACGCGCACCGTTCCGCTGAACATGGTGCTACCGACCAACGAGCCGTATCACCAAGACCACGCCGCCACACGATCACTTCCACACAATAAACCCACATAAAATCATTGAAGGTGCTTCATAATTGAAATAGAAATAAAGACTTGACAGCAACGAAATCGGCCATGGATGGATGGGATAATTTCTCTATGGTTTTTAATGAATTCTCATTCTATTCGATTGGTGAAAAAAATTGTTTTTGGTTTTTTAATTCCCTAATGCGTTTCGTGTATTATGTCTACCTCAAGTAAAAAACTCAAATCCTTTCTCTCAAAATGTGTTATTTTACTTTTTATTGTATCGAATTGTTTTATTTCGAATGTTTTTTAAGACTATATGCATTATGACTGTGACTAGAAGATATTTCTTAAATATTTTATGACTAGGAACAAAAAAAAAATAATTTGTTCCCAAAACTGTTATTTCCATTAGCAACTATACTTGATGTTTAGTCGGTAGTAAATTCAGTAGTTTTCACTGGTTTACAGTTATCGAACCCAGGCTACCATCATTAAAATTTCCAAAATAATTAGAGAACTTAACAGATTAGCCCCGTACATCTCCTTGTCCTCCCGTAATTATTGAATAACTACATTGTTGCGTACTTTACGAGTTCCTGGCTTCAAGGTATGTAAATTTTTGAGCAAATGTGCCTAGCATTTATTGAAGATGTATTAAGTCAAAGACTGTGAGTTCTTCCTTCAATAAATTCTCAGTAGTTGTTCGGAGTTAGGAACTTGGCGGTGTCACCCCCGTGCCTCGAAAAGCACGTAAAGCCGTTGGTCCTGCGCTTGATCTCTCTTCGATCATGTCAGTTTACCGTCTCATCGGACTATAAAGAGCAAGAGAAAGTGCACCTGTGCTTGGGCATACACTCGGATACTATAATCCTGTCCTACGCCACTGGATAGTCTGGATAGGAGGAGAAAGGAGGACATTTTTTTATTAAGTCAAAGAATCTCTTAAACAGAAATCACAATCTCGATTATAACGAACCTTGTTCCGGCCGTTCCTTGCTATTAAATGATAACATTGTTTCAGCTTGTTGAAGAGAATTCATATAGCTTTATTCTTGGTGAAGAACTCCCCCCGAAACTCCCTGGACACAAAATTTTATGAAAACCGTTGGAGCCGTTTCCGAGATTCCGATTATATATATATATATATATATATATATATATATATATATATATATCACTAGAATTGTTCGTTTAAAGTTATAGGATTATATTTAGTTATATTGTATATTATGTGCCATTTTGTTTGATAATTTGTTGCTATCTTACAGCTAGACATGACATAATCCACTTACTGTAGAAATCTTGGGATTTTTGATCACAAAAATGCGACAATTAATGATTTCTTATATTTACGCGAACACTACACATTTAAATAATACTAGTTTTTACGGACTTTATTGCGTATATTTAACTTTTTTAAATACCCGACGTTTCGAACGCTTTACAGCACTCATGGTCACGGGCGGGACATCAACATCTCAGTCCCGCCCGTGATCATGAGTGCTGTAAAGCGTTCGAAACGTCGGGTATTTAAAAAAGTTAAATATACGCGATAAATTCCGTAAAAAACTAGCATTATTTCAATGCGACAATTAATTTTGACAATTTTCTCTTGATGTTAAAACTACCCAAAGAGCTACCAAAACAGGTGAAAATCTGAGGATGCAAGGTCAGGACTGTATGGTAGAAGCATTAATACTTCCCAAGCAAGCTCTCTCAATTCTTGCTGAGTGGCCAAAGATGTGTGGTCTGGCATTATCATGAAGAAAAACCACTTCATTTCTATTTATTAATTCTGGCCATTTTTGTCAATATTTTGCTTAAATCTCATTAATAGTTGACAGTAGAGATCCAAATCGATGGGTTTGACCGGCGGTAAAAGCATAAACAGTGCTCTTTCAAACCCACCATACACGCTGCATCATCTTATTATTTCTGGGTTTCGCTACAGTCTGTTGAGCTCGACTACCCTTTGACCATGATCTTTTTTGCATATTCTTGTCGTAGTTGATCCACTTCTCATCACCAGTGATCAATCTTTTCAATACTGGTTCAATTTTATTGCTTTTCTCTTAGCACACGTTTCATTAGGTTTCTTTCAGTGATCTCGTGTGGTACCCAAATATCGAGGTTTTTTGTTTAGCCCAGTTTAGCCAGACTTTTACAAATAGGTTAAAACTGCTTCGTGGCCAACCCTCAATTTCTCGCCTATATTGTAACTATACTAATATGCCAATTTTGCTCTACTTTTTCAAAAATGGCATCGACTTTATTCGTGTGAGGGTGACCAGAGCAAGCTGCATCTCTGACATCAAAACTTCCGGACTGAAAACCTTGTACTATTTTCACTGACACTGCATTTGGTTTAGGTCCATAAAAGTTACAAATTTTTTCGCGGCTTTTGGCCCAATTTTACCCCTTTTTGTAATAAAACATCAAAGTTTATGGAATTTCTTCGTTAAATTATACAAAAAGGTACTCTGTGCGTTAGATTCAGTCATTTTGGCCGACAGAAAAACAATAGAAAAATGGAAGGAAGGTGTTTTTTACTTTTTATTTTCTTTTTCTTAATATCCTATATGTATACGTATTGATATTAAAACCAGCCAGATACAAACAGTACAACCAAAGAGATTTTCCTCATTGATAATAACAATAGATTTATAAATTAATAATATATAATTATTAATTTTTAATTAATAACTTATTATAAGTACTTGTCGGAAGCCATGCTTGAAAATGACCGCTTCAAGCTCTACTGGGACCGGGCCATCATCACAGTCAACACTATTCTTGCGAATAAGCTTGATATTGTGCTGATGGACCAGGCATAGTCAAGGATATTTTTGTCGACATTACCATTCCATATGGCGAGAACCTAGTGAAAACCGAATCAGATAGGAAAACAAAACATCTGGACCTGGCGCACGAAGTGACCGACATGTGGGGTGGTTTGCCGATCGAAATTATTCCTGTAGTCGTCTCTGCGAATGGCTAATCCCGGTCAGCCTCTTGGGTCATCTGAGGCGACTGGGACTTCGTAACAGACCGCTTCGGGCTCAAATGCAGAAGACGGTGCTCCTCGATACCGCCCGTCCATCGTCCTTCGTCATCGCATCCTCCGCCGGTTTTTTCCCTTTCCCCCTAACCCTGGGCTGTTTGTTCTCCCCTACCCCTACCGAGGGCTTCCATCTGGTTGGGCTTTTATTTATTTATGTATTATTAATTTATTTATTTATGTTAGTATATTTAATATATACTTAATATGTATATTCATCACTTCCTTTTATATATTTATTTATCCCTATCTGACGAGAATACCTTATAAATACCCAAAAATAATAAAAATATCTTTATTTATAAAAGCCTATTAAAAGTCACCAGTCACCGGACACCGTCAAATTTGGCCGAACACGCTACCAAAAAGCCTGACTGTGTTCGGCTTTATCCGGACGTCTGGCAACGCTACTTCCAACCATAGACTTAATCCTCTATCTACGCTTTCAACATCTCATTTGGCAACACTGCCGAAAGTCAAATCAAACGTCATTTGGCCTAAAGTTCTAGATACCAGGCCATAAACTCCAAAAAAAAAAATCTAACGTCAATTCCATTTCATAAATTTCAAGTTGGAAGTTGTTGCATTGTTTTGTTCAAAATAAAATTGTTTATAAGCCTAAAGTAATCAGAACAGAAACAGGAAGACTCACGCTTTTTATTTTCAACGTTATGGGTTTTTTAACTATTTTAAAGAAATTACGGCAAAAGGAAAAAGAAATGAGGATTCTCATGTTGTATCCTTTTTATTTATATTATTTATAACGGTGGCTCATAAACTTTAACCGTCTCGGAATTACTTTCATTTAATCCATATCAATATATCTTATATGTAATTTTCTCAATTTTCTTAACAATATAATCAGAGGCTTGGATAATGCGGGCAAGACAACAATTCTTAAGCGATTCAATGGAGAACCAATTGACACTATATCTCCAACTCTGGGTTTTAATATAAAAACCTTGGAGCATAGAGGATATAAACTGAACATATGGGATGTTGGCGGCCAAAAATCTTTAAGGTAAGCTTTATATAATTTAATCTTTTTACGGTTAATTCTAATTTCTGTATTCTGTATGAATATTGAATAATATTGTGAATTCCTTTGGTTTGCTTTAAAAAAAATATTGTTTAAGATTTGGATGAGGGAGAGATTTGGGCCCTGATAAATTTCTTCAAGAGTATTCAATTACAAACTATACTCTATTCCAATTACGAAATCCCTTTTGATACTTCTTAGAACGTAACTCTTCACGTTTCGCATAATTTGAAATAATAACCATTTTTTGTTCATGCTCTAAAATCATCATTTAAAAATACACAATCAATCTAAATCATTATACAATTAATTCACACGCACAATCAACATATTGTTTTTAGACATCGTGCCATGCCATAGAATTGATTTGGGCGCAAATGAAAGGCAAGAATTTAAACAAATCTTTTTTATAATTTATTTTTACCTATTTCAACGTTTTATCTATTGCTATATTAACACGCAAACATTTTATTTAGGTTATGCGGCTCGTAAAAATACCAGCCCACCGTTTACTGCAAACAAAATGCTGTCATTGTTGCAAGAAGCTTGTGATTGTGTTACTGCCGCGAATTGGGAAAGTGGTTTTGCGAACAAAAAATTTGATTTTCGCTGATTGGGACAGAGACATACGTATCGATGCCGTCATAGATAACCAAATTATAATAAATACAGGGGATTTTACAGACGATGATGAGGGTGATGACGACGATGCCGACCATGAAATATTGATTTCGGCTAGTGATGATGAATATGTTCCATCTTGATAAAAATATCATGTAATTCTAATCTTGATAAAAATTTAATTAAAATTAAAAAATAGTTTTATAAATTTTACTTAGATGCTAATCCTTTTTCTGTTTTAATTTGTTC